GTCCTTGACAAAGTCATGCTGTACTTGTTCTATTTCTAGTCTAATCCTGCTTCATGCTCTGTTCATCAGGATTCGTACATTAGTTTGGTTATGTAGCTCATTTAGCTGATTGTCTGATGGAGCCTACATTCATTTGCACCTACTCTCTTAAATAATGTTACAAAGACTGATTTAGTGATGTTCTCCAGTATGTCGCCATTGTTGTATATTTTGTTTATTACTTGTTGATGATGAAATCGTCTAAGGCTGGGAGCATATCTGTTACAATTCCATCAAGCCATCCTACTTTGTTACTGTTCATCTTTTTCAGTGTTGATCTTACTTCAGCTTTTAGCATTTCTGGTCCTTTCGTATTTTCTGGCATAGGTTTTCTCTCTCACATGGTGAAAAAGTTCTTTGATATATTCACTCCACTTTTGGAGGATTTTTTCTTTTTCTATTATAAATGATTTTCCCTTTGATTTTATAGAGGTTGGTTCACCTTTGGGGATGTTAACAAGTTTGTAGGTTTTGTGTGTGTTTTTTAGGTGAAGATATATGCTCAATATATAAACAAAGATGAAAGATACCAAATTAGGATGAGGAGAAATTCAAAAAATATCTTACAGCTTCAAATATCTAGTTTAATGGCTAAAAGGAGTAAAAATAATAGTTCTTACAGAAATATATCTCACCATGAAATAATCATTTTTTAAAAATTTTTTGTATTTTTATAGAATTATCAAATAAGCATAGTTTTTGAGGCATTGAATGTGACCAGCTAGTTTTTTTCCCCACAGAGCTGTTAAAGCTATGTCAGACGAGAGATCAGCAGCCAGGCTCTGGTCATCTAGAATTTTGTAGGTGGATATGCAGTTAAAAGAGGATATGAGTTAATGATAAAGTTATCATTAATTATTTCTGTTTCTGCTACCTCTTCTTTTAAACTTTGTTTAAATATATTATTACTAAAGAAAATATACTTAACCTGGGGAGGGGCCGATTAACTTTATTTTACAAGGCTCAAGAGTGATTCAAGGTATAGGGTTACTGAATGAGGTGTGTGATATCAGTGTAAGAGGAAGGAGAAGGAAGTGAAAATTATGAAGATAAAGGGTTAACAAATGACCCTTGAGGTGAAAATTGTTGTTCAAGAAAGCATCCACATGGGACTATGTTCCATAAAGTAGCAGTTCTTAGGGATAAAGCAGTCTAAGTGGAACTTGCTCCTTAGAAATGGAATATAAAGGGAATGAATGCTATTTGACTCCAAGAACATATGAGCTTAGTGAGTCCTAGCTGTAAAAGGTCTGAACTGGTGGAACTAAAGAGTGGAGCTCATCTGAACTTTTACTATGGAAATATCCAGAGAGAAGCAATAGGCTTGCAATGTTGCGTCTGTGGGGAAAGAGGCTGTAGAGTGGAAAATAAGTTATCCCTTACAAGACAGTATAAATGATTTTGAACTGTCTATGACTGATCAGGTGTGCAACAACCCTACAACCATATCTAGTCACAGAACTGCTGCTGATGATGATAAAAGAAATCATACAGCGAAGACATTGTTTTTTTTTTTTTAACTTTCTTTGGACAACTTAATTTTAATGCTCTAAAAAGAAAAACTATTTCTTACACTTTTAATCCTAAAGATTGCCTCATATAAGGCTCAAGAGCCACTTATTGTAGAGCGTTACTAAATGAGGTGTGTGATATGTAACAGGAGGTAGAAAGAAGTGAGGATAAGATAAATAAACAATGATTGATAATGAGGATAAGACAAATAGACAATGATTGACCCCTGACTTGAAGAGGTTAAGATTTTAGTGTACAGGGAAGCATCCACGTGGGAGTATGTTCCAAAAAGTATCAGTTCTTGAGGAAAAAGTAGTCTAAGAGGAACTTGCTCCTCAGAAATTGAATACAAAGGGAATGAAGGCTATGTGATTCCAGGGACATACGAGCATAGTACTAACATAGAACTGGTGAAACTAAAGAGTGGAGATCATCTGAACATTTACCATGGAAATGGCCAGAGAGTACAGATAGGCTTACAATATTGTATCTGTGGGGAAAGAGGCTGTAAAGTAGAAAATAATTTATTCCCTACAAACAGTAAAAATGATTTTGGAAAGTACAGATTGAGTAGCTTAAACATGGCAGCAATACACCATTTTGGTTCTAAACTGACTCTAGTAAAGATAAAGCTTGGTAGAAAGAGGCAGTTACTTCCTGGAGCAGCAAAATGAGCTGACCATTTTCCCAGCATCTTTAGCAATGGATCATATGTATGAGTCCCACTTGAGGTCTGGAGTGAATAAGAGAAGGAACACTTTTGATTCAAATCTCCACAACCTTGGAGCCATATCCAATCATAGGAAAAGCTTTGGGAGTAAACTCTGTGGAAAAACAAGAAGTCAGAGTCTCAAAAGCAGTCCAATGCTATGTCTAATGTCATTCTGGCAAATTCTGTGATGATACTGATGCCAAACAGAATCAGCCCCTATCTTGGACAACATTAGTGACATGGTGAGAAGGGGATATGCTGCATGGGCAACTGTTGAACTCCTATAAAATTCTTCCCAGGACTGCATCTTGGTGAAGATACTCAAGCAATGCCTCACCATGCTGGTAAAACACAACCTGAATCAAAACACCTTAGGTATATATCCTTGGTTTCTCGAGGCTGATGGATGCCACACCATTTTACTGAAAATGGAGTACTTTAAAATTAATTAAGATGTGAATAGAATTTGAATTAGTAAAGTGGAAGTTATATTAAAGTTTTTATAAAGTTGTATTTTTAAAGAACCTATTTCTTGTTGAAATGATGATTTTTTATTGGCCTAGTTTGAATAGTTAAATCTTTTCAAAATCATCTTTTCTTTTATGGAGTAATTTCTTAATTTCATGAAAATATATATGCTAAACATATTTTTAAATTGGAGCCCCAAAATATTTTATCTGAAGGCTTGCTTCAAAGGTTTCCAATTTTTTTGTATTATTTCTAATTATTTTACAGTAAGTTTTATCATTGTTATATTAAGCATATGGTGGCAGAACAAAGGAGAAACAATGAAGGTTTAAAGAAATAAACAATTGTATTAATGTAAAATACAACAAATGATAAAATCGGTGTAAATGTCTCTCATTGAAAAAAAGGAGGTAAGTGGAGTTGTAAAAGGTGTTGCAAGGAGAGGGAGGTTGAGTTCTGACTTACTGAGGCAATGGCCTTTGGCAAGCTGTCTCTTGGAGATGAGAAGTCATGTTCCAACAAAGTATGTGAACCTGGGCCAAGATCCTGTTCAACTGCCAAAATGTCCTTTTGATGGGCTTTTATGTCCATTCTTAGGCTCTCAAATTGGCTCCGGTTTTTATTTTGTTTTTTTTAGGCAGGAGTTGGAAATTCTGGATTGTATTACTTATTTTTTCTTTGAGTGTGTGAGTAAAAATGGAGGGTATGTGCAGAGACTTGCACAGCTGATGGAATTTTAGTTCAATTTTGGATGCTTGGAGCATTCACATCTGGCCAAATTGGTGTAGAATGAATCAAAAGATCTGGTTTTAGGAAGAATGTAATATCATTTTAATGAAGTCCTTCATATTAAATATTAGCTTCGGATATTTTAAAAGGGAATGTTATTTTTTTGAGAAATTATTTTAACAAATGTTTGTTTTTAATTTATTATTAAAATGTGAAAGAACAGCAGTGAAATTTTGTAAAATATTATTCATCTCCACTTCATCTTTTTGATATTTTCTTAAATTTTATTTCTTTTATGTCACATGCACTAGCTATTTGAAAGTATTCATAGATACTATATACTTTTTTTAGTTTTCATGAAGCAATTTATAATTTATTTAAAGTTTATGATAAAACTTACAAAACAAAATGTTTTAAATTATCACTTTAATGAGGATGACGTTAAAATTTGGTGAAAAAATTACATTGTCACATGCAAAGAAAACAATGTTATGCCAAATTATATAAAAATTTCATTTAACTTAGATACAATTAAACTTATTTTTAATTAATAATTAAAACAAAAAACAATTCCTATTTATCCGATTAATATAAAAAATTGTTTTTGTCTATTTTTTTTATAAAGAACAAAACATGAGTATTGCTGTTTTTACCGTTCAATAAATAAAGACAAAAAAAAAACAAACTTTTCAATGAGTAAAAAAGTAAAAGCCAGTTAAAATAGCTTTTGGTTTGTAATATGTTAGAAAAACTGATAGAGGGTGTTAGTTAAGAACAGATAGTGAGGTAGACAGGTAGGTAAAGAAGTTATGGAGGAAGATTGAAAAAGGACAAACAATAGGAAGCAACGCAAACAGTTGATGTGCTTTAATAGCTTCTCTTTTATATAGTTTCTCTAGGGTGGGCTTTAGAGGAAAGGCGATGAAAGAATTGGAGCTTTGGCCTTATTGGCCAGTTGAGAAAAGAGAATAAAAACCGTTGTTTGTGGGTAGGTAAGTGAACTGAAAAGAAAAGATAGGGGAAAAAGTTTAGCAGTTGTATGATATGGAAGAATAAAAGGTTACAAAGAGAGAATGTAAAGAAAGAGGGAATAATGGTAGTGATGATGATGATGATTATTATTTGAAATAAGAAGGGGAGTTAATACGAAAATATTTCTCAACATCTTGTAGAAATAAATTATTTCGGTTATTTTTATTCTCGTGAAATAAAGATAAAATCATTGTTACCAATGGACTAAAACTTAAATAAAATAAAGAGATGGTTAGAATTTTAAGAACACGAATTAAAGTGTATAGAATTGAGGGGTAAGTAAAAACTGAGAGGTTAAGATGTGATACTGAGGAGGTGTAAGAAAAGAAAGAAAAAAAGAGGAGGAGAAGTTAAAACCTGTGAAAGGAGGAGGCAGGAAGAGGTGGAGGAGGAGTATAGCCTGAAAGAGAGAGGCAGAGAACGAAAACGTGTGAGAAAATTCTGATTTGGAAACGAGGCTCAGTTTGTTCCCGCCTTCCTTTGCCAGGATCGCATCAAACTTTTCAACATGGCGGACAAAGAGGACACTGAGAATTCTCCTGCTCAGGATTTAGTCGTCACCAAATATAAAATGGTGGGAGACATGGTCAACAGTAAGTTTTGAGGTCTTTGGCTTACTTTATGGCAAAACCTTATTCGTGTAATCTAAAATTCTAGCGTGTGTTTTGGTTTGTTCAACATCTTACCACAACCATGTGATGATTGCAAGTCCACCATGCGTCCAGTGGCGACGTGCTATGAAAAATGCTTCTTGCTATTTTACATTAGTTTCAGACATATGTTATTTAATATCATTTTGATTATTCAATTTGAAGCGTAATAAATTGTTTAATTGAATAGGCTAGCTTTTTCTTTAATTACAATTTGAATTTAACCCATATGTTCGGAGGATTGCACGAACTTTATATATTGGCTAACAAAGTTAACTTAAACGCAATCGTAACTTGCGTGCATTTATTTTTCTTCAGAGAAATAAAATCGCATTTATTCTGTATATTCTACAGATGTTTAATTTTGTTTGTTTTGAAAAGTGTGTAGGTATATTTGTTGCGAAATTCCGCATTTCAAGAGAAACAAACTCGATGATAACGTAGTCCATAATGGGAACCTTTCTTATTCAATGGCACTGATAAGATGTTGAATATGTTCAAAGGAACTTGAATTCTATTAAAAACTTGTTTTGATTTTCGATCGCCAACGTGCAGCTACTGGTAATTCTTGTATTTGTAAATACTTCTCGGTTTACCATTTCAAACGTACATCAAAGAGCGACAAAAGTATTATCTAGAAAGTGAATCCCCTTTAATAAATGGAACTCTTCAATGAAAGACTTTTTTTCTTTCTTTTTTTTTTTTTGATAAAAATGAATGGCTGACTCTTATTTCACGTGTATAAAATTACTTTAAGCTTGGCATTTTTTCTTCGTTTTTTTTTTTTAACTTTTTATCATGAAACAATTAAGTGATCACTTCTTTTTTTTCTTTTTTTTTTTTTAACCAAAAACCACAATTAAAAGTACTCCTTAAAAAAACCAAAAAAAAACTTAAGTTCATATTTTTTTCTTTTTTTAATTTACACTTAAATAACGGACGAGAAAATCTTTTTAGTTTAATTTGGTAAATAGTCATGTCTTTTTATTTTGACAAATATTCGCAGTCAGAAAAATAGCAAATACTTATGTACATATTTTAATCGTTATTTTTTAAGACCTATTTTAAAATACCATATTGTGAAACCTACATTTCAAACTTCCGAAAACTCCTTGAAATTCAAATAGGATTAGAAAATATTTTCTTGAAACGTCTTCATTTTTGTATATGCGATATAAATTCTGTGCAGTAGCTTCTACTGTTAGTAGTTAGCTTATCTACCTTTTAAGGCAGTGACGACCATGTGCTGCACTCTACTCACCCAAAGCTGCTGGGTGCTCCTGGGTCCTCTTTCTTGGCCGCTACCCTTGCCTCACGAACAAACGAGTTTGCTTTCAAAAAAGAAAAAACGTTTCTAAAAATACAATATAGAATCATTTATTAGTTTTAAATGTTTGTTTTAATACTGTAAATCTTGTATTTTATGCATTATCCTGAAACAAATAAAAAACCCTTCTTGTACAACTTAAATGTATTCCTTTGTTACAAATCTGTGTCACTGATTTTTTTTTGATTTTTCAAAAAGAACTAATCAAATACTCCCCCCCACACACTTTGATTAGTTTGAAAATCTTGGTTTGTCTAGGAATACACGTGCCCTTGATTTACAACTTTTGAGCTATAATTACAGCTGATTTACAGCGCATCTTATTTTTAACTCTTTGAGTTAATTACCACAGGAGTAATTATTTTAAAGTTCCAACAAGAAATATTTTTTTGTTTAAACTTCACAGTAAGATTACTTGACATTTCTTTGACACGTATTTATTAAGTTTCTTATGAGTTACAACTTAAAACTCGCCTGCAAACTGGATAAAAAAAGTCCACATCATTTTATTTAAGTTTTTAAGACCTCAGTTATTTTTTAGCTAAGCGGCGATTTTGCAGTCGAAAATATCAAACCTTTGACTCCAGCAAGCGTAACGTAAGTTCTGAGATGTCAACCGTTTTATTTTAGGCATGAAAACAAATTACTTGTACCCACAATAGTACATTACATTTAAGTTAATGTACTATTGTTGGACAAGGAATTAAGTCCATTTTGATAAGCGTTAATTAAAAGTTAAAGGTTAGGAAAATTGCTTTTTAGCGAAAGCTAGAGAAGTTTTGCAATAGCTGTGATCATGATTTCATTTTAAGAAACTTTTTTTTTTTTTTTTTTTTTTCCCCATTAATACACTTGTCAGACAATAATGACTTTAGCAGCTGAATGTAAAGTGTTTCGCATTTTGGCTATTGAGAAGTTTGGGGAGTTCTTGTATACTAAAGTGTGTAGAAACGTTATAACTTGAATTTTGATTTTGACACTAATTAAAATTTTAGAAAGGTTTAAGTGTAGTAAATCACTAACAAAATAAATCACTTCCACCAAAAGACTTCAGCAAATGAGCTTTTGTAAGGTTTGTGTAGCGCTCATTAAAAATAAAATACTTCTTGGTTTCTTTCCGAAATGGATAACAAATAAAAAGGGTTAATCAAAGTAGCATATAAAAAATAAATCATATTTCAATTGATTTGATAATTATAAAATCTTTTCAAAATTTTAAATTGTTTTAAACGATACGATGATTATTTTTTTTAATTAATTTATTAACATACTTCGTTTGCAGCATAAAATGATTTTTATGAAATTTTTGTAATTTAAATGTCAATGATTAATGCTCAACTAGTTGGTATACTATAAGTTCTTGTCTGGACCATGGGAAAAAAAAAAAGATTAAATATGAACCTTATCTGTGTTTATAAACTTTGTCCTAAATTTTACCCATTCATCATGAACAAAAATTTATTGACATAACGTGAGGTGTGATAAAATCTACAAGTTCTTGTGTTTGATAAAGGTATCTGTAGGATTCATTTCTTCGAGTACATTTGAATATTTCTATTTTATTTGCATATGTAAATTACACCCGTTGTTGAAACAAATGTCTTGAGTTTTATTTTCAAATACTTGTTTTTTTTTTTCTTTCATTAAGCATACTAATTTAGTAATTAAAATAGTTTTTTTCTGTATGATTGAGCTTAAATATAAAAAATAAAAACTATTTTAAAAACAGATTCTAAAAATGAACAACACATTCGGCTTTTTCATGTTCTAATTGTCATTTCAGCATTATGCATACCGTTGAGAAAAAAAACCTGCACAAAAATCATTTTCAGCACTCAAAATTGTTTTAATTTTTCTTTCGCATTTAAATTACAAATATATTGAGATTGAATCCATTGTAATGCCTGATAGCATTACATTATTATCAACATGTACATTTAAAAAAAATTAAAAGATTATTACCTGTTAGCTTTTTTTTTTGTGTGTGGAATGCCTCCAAAGAAAGTGATACCTAATGTTTAAAATTTTTTTTTTTTTAAAATGAAAAATCTTCATTTTTATTTTAGTTTTAATTTCAAGCTAATAGGTAAAAATGTAATATTACCAATAAGCAAAATACTTTGCTGTATTTCAAAATGAATTTAAATTGATTAGGATTTTATTTGTTTTTTAAATCACTAAAAATGGCTGATTTTAACCATATTTATAATTCTCTCAGCACAGTGTAATTCTTTTATTAAAAAGTCTTTCATAAATAAAGCATACTTTTCTGAAACTTTATTTGAGGAAGATTAGCTGATTTAAAATTTAATTAATCTGACTTGAGACAAATATTAATGTTGCAGAAAAGCCTGTTTTTAACACTGAGGTGGGTATTTTTGAGTTGCTGACAACTCTCAATAGATTTGTTTGGAATTTTTTCCTACAGGGAACATATTCGTAAAAATTACTTTAATATAACAGGAGCACTTTTTTATATGCTTTTATATATAGTTACTGCTCAAGATACTAAAATCTTCTGTATCTGGGAGTCCTGTGTTACAAAATAAAAGTGATTTAAATTCTCCGACAACTTGTGTTTATAACTAATATAAACGTCCAACAAAATGAATTTCTCTGGTTTTTCCTCTTATAACAACAAAGATTTTGAAACTTTTGGGTATTTTTCATCTGTACGATTTTTTTTCTTTTTTTGTCAAGTGAGTCTTTGGAGGTACCTAGAATTATAGCAAATCTGTATTTTTTGTAGGCACTTATTTTAATGTATAACAAAATTTGAAAGAAATTACTGTTTTTTGTTTGTTTTTTTTTCTAAATATTCAAGGGTAAATTTTAATTTTAGATTCAATTGTCATTTTGTGGTTTGTAAATGAATTAAACAAATTTATCTAAACATTTAATGTGCTGTTGAAATTTTCATTGTCTGTATAATATTAAATATCTTATTTCTTTTCAGGTATCTTGAAGCTTGTAATCAATGAATGCAAAGCTGGTAAATCTGTCATTCAAATTTGTGAATTTGGTGACAAAATGTTACTTGAAGAAACTTCCAAAGTTTTCAAAAAAGATAAAGAAATGAAAAAAGGTACGTTTATAATTAATGACTTTGTTTCAAGAAGTCATAATCACAATAAAATTAAAGCATTTCTATTGCATTTTATGAATTTTTGTATTTTTTTTTCTTTTGATTCCCAGTCTGACCAAGAGTAGTATCATTACAGGTTTAAACTAATTCTTGGTGAAGAGAGAAATATCCCATTCAACTGTGCTTAATCTTCTAGATACCCACTTGACCTGACATTCTGGTATATAGGTATTGCCACACTTAAATTCTTTTTTTTTTTTTTTTTTTCTTTTAAAGTATTTCAATTATTTAAATATGTTGCCTGAAGTATGGAAGACCAAAAATGACAAATGTATTGCGCATACAGGCTATAGGTAACCAATAAAGTAATAATACCAATACATATAAAAAAAATAAAAAAACAAAAAAAACTTTTTTTTAATATTCTAATTGGATTTTTAACTTGACATTTGATTATAAAAACCTTTAATAACCTATCAAATGTCCACTTGGCATAATAAACAATTTTTCAACTTTTTCACACACAAAAATCTCTCCCCCCCCCAAAAAAAAAAAATTTACAGGGATTTACCAAAATATTTAATTGAAATTTGATTTTTTGGTAGATTTTCAACATCAAGCCCTCATTCACCTACAAATATTCCACTGTTATTTCTCCAGGAGTTTTAAAGTATAAGCAACTTTTCAAAGACAAAAAAAAATAATCTCTGCTTCTGTATATTGGAAACGATGCCACAAAGATTAGCAATAAAGTTACCATATTAACAATTTTTGGGCATCTGATGGTCACTATTGGTATAGATTGACTTGCCAAACTCTATTGACATGTTAAAATAAACCATTGGTAGTTTTAAAACTTGACTTCGTGTTCAGTTTAAAAGTAGAGATTTATGGGTGCAGCTCTTGTCACTAAAAAAAAATGTCAGTTTACTTTCAGAAATACTTTTTTACTTTTTCTAAGTTTGCAAAAACACCTGATTTAACAGATTTGATGAAAGTAAATGGAATATTACAAATGATATAGTGATTTTGCTTACATCACTGTAATCTGATAGTGTGTGCATATTTCTTTTTTTTATTATTATTATAAGAAAGACGTGAATAAGTTAATATATCTATACCGAAATACTTAAAAATAGGATCTTTTATAATTGGTCCTTTTTTTTTTTCTTTTCTTTTTTTAAATTGTTTACTTATTGGTTTAATGGCTCATTGAAAAGTGAAATTACTCATGAGCCCATGTGTTTAGCAAGCATATTAAATATATACTGCCTACTTCTCCCAACAAAACCAGTTGCAACTCCTTTTAAGAGTTGTATGTAATAATAAGCATGTTAATGTCTGATTTTTTTTTCTTTCAGGTCTTGCTTTTCCCACCTGCATATCTGTTAACAACTGTGTATGTCATTTCTCACCTTTGAAAAGTGAACCGGAAACTTTACTAAAAGATGGTGATGTTGTTAAAATGTGAGTTTAACACCTTGTGTCTTGTAGTATAATTGTTTTTAAAGTTTTAGTTTTTACTTTTCATCTTTTTCTAATGACCTTGCATAGTGTGGACAACTTAATGGCTGACACTAATCTGTCACATTAATGTAACTCAAGAATATCAAAAGAACAATTTTTCTTGCCCTAAATCCAGTGTCTTTCAGTTTCTTTTCCTCTTATCCTCTTTTCTTACTTGACAAGGTTCATGGATATTTGGAGTTTAATTACTAATTAATATTTTTTAAGTTGGGGGGGGGGGGTTCCCATTAAAACAAAATTAGCAAAGCATCACTTGAGGAAAATTGCCCATCACATAAAAAGTTACAGCCTATGGTAACCTAAAAAATATTTAATCACCTCAATCAATACATGTTAACACTTGATATACATTGATAAGTACTTTTTTTATTTTTTATTTTTTTTATTTCAATGTTGAATTATTACAAGTTCTATAAATTGTGCTGAAAAATTATCATTTTTAAATTTTTTTTTTTTCTTCTTTATTTTTACATCGGTACTTAAAATTATTGACAGTTGTTATTACTATTACAATCTATAAAACTATTAAATTGATAATCGAGGCTTCTTGATCACTAATTGTAAGTAAAAATCTTAAACTTTTTAGCTGTCAGCAAATTATAGGAGATATACATTGCATATTGTGTTATTGCTTGAAACCTGTAGAATTTGTAATTATACACAGATGGACTGGTGTTTTGTTTTTGTTTTTTTGGTCCCCCTTTCGTTGCTTTATAATTGTTTCTTTATTTTTAGAGATTTGGGAGCCCACATAGATGGTTTCATTGCTGTTGTGGCACACACATTAGTAGTTGGGGCTACAGCTGTGAGTATTTAATTCTTTTTAAATCTATTCCATTGCTACATTTAATGAGTAACTTTTTTTTTTTTTTTTTTTATTAATCTTTGTTAGATTATTTGGAAAGATGTAATTAACATAAGGAAAAATGGATTTGTTTACACCAGACATTTTTTCTCTCTCTCTTTTCAGGAAAACAAAGTAAAAGGCCGAAAAGCAGATGTCTGTCTTGCTGCCCAGTATGCTGCAGAAGCTGCTCTCCGTCTTGTCAAACCTGGAAATGATGTAAGTTTATTAACAAGTCTATCACTTTGCATCTTTTCATTGAAAAAGGCTTTGTTTTATTTTCCAATTTGGGTGACTTACTTTCTGTCTGCATTTATATCTAATGCATAACATTATTCCTACTCTTAATAAGGTAATAAGTTAAAAATTAGTAGATGGTATATGTAAGGAGAGCAGATCTCAAATTTTTTTCCCTCTCTTATGTACCATTGGCTGGTTAACATCCTACATTTCAGCACTAAAATTGAATTAATACTGACAATATGAATGAACATAAAAATGTAAATACTTGCTGCAGTTACTTTTTAACTTCACAAAATTGATAAGTGCAAAAATGAAATTTTATCAATCTAGTTAGAATTGAAGTTCCTATGGCTTTAGAGGCCATCACTTTCTCTCTATTGAGAAAATAATTTCAATATATTTCACGTTTATTTTCATCATTGTCTTTCTCAATATGCATGTTTTTTTTTTTTTCACTCTGTAAATAATAATTTGCATTTTCTGCAGTCTTCAATATTGTAAATCTCCTTGTATAATTTTTATTTGCTGCAAATGTTCATTTTTTCTTTGATTGCAGAACTATACTGTAACTGATGCCATCCAGAAAATTGCAGAATCCTATAAATGCAAACCTGTGGAAGGTAAGTAGAATTTAGCACTGACATAATCTTGTTTCTCTCAGAATATTAACGTTTTAATGTTTTTGTAAAAGGAAATGTTTTTTCTTTATAGGAATGTTGTCTCATCAACTGAAAAAGCATGTAATTGATGGTGAGAAGGCTATCATCCTTAATCCCACAGATGCTCAAAGGTAAGGTACAGTTGCTCTATTGAAAATACAAGTATTTAATGTCACTTAGTTTAAATTCTTTTTAAGAAAATATATATATATATATATATATATATATATATACACACACACACACACACACTCATCCCTTGTTTCTTTTTTAGGAACAGATTCCTGGATGCTTCTTTTTTTTTTTTTTTCTTAGTTGTGTTGCTGTCATGAATTGCTTGTGATGTGTGAAGTTTGTGGCAATGTCTCTTTATACTGAGACTACTAGGTTGGCAGTTTTCTTTACCAATATAACTCATGAACAGAAACAACCAAAAATATAAACTAGACCAGCTCAACAAAAATCACCTAAACCCTCTTAACCTTTCCTTCTCCAACATCTGTGGTATTCATATCAACTTCTGCAGTGTAGAATTGTTCTCTTTGAAAAGTCTCCTGCCATACTCCATTTTTCTTTTTATCTTTTCCGCAATAACCCCCACCTTACCCAGTCTTTTCTCTTACTTTCACTCTCTGTAACTACTTGTGTACTAGTGGCACTCCTGCCTTGCTTGGAGTTGGCTGGTCAGTCGGTTATGTGCCATGTGTGATACACACTTAGGCGATCATGTATCTTTCGATACATGACTGGTGAGGCAGATTTTTTTCCTGCAGTAGGTTACCATTTCTTTCTGCAGTAGACCAGTTGCCATCCAAGGCTATAGAACCTGGTCTGTCTTGTTATTTACCCATAGCTGGGCTGAAGAGGATTCCTATCTTTCCCAAGGGTATTAGCATGTAAGTGAATGTAACGAATTCAGCTGGAATTCGAACTCGGCTCTCCAATTTCTCAATCCAAGCTGCTATCCATTAGTCCACCGGGGTGAAATGCTTAAAAGAAAACATAAAATTTTCTGTTAACCTTCACTTTTTGTAGTGGAAAAGTGATATTATTAAGTTAAGACTGTTTACTAATCATAAATGAAAAAGCTTACTACAACTCTGTAACCCCTAATATTAAAAAAAAAAAAAAAGTTTGTGTGTGTTTAAATGAAGTAAATATGCATGCCCAAATGTTGCATTATCAGAAAATAAATGCAGTAACTATAGTAAATTTTAAACTTAGTGGTAATTTTCTTACATTTCCTCAACAAGTTAAAATTCAGAAAAAAATATCAAATTACTTTGAATATTTGCCTAAATTTTTAAATATTTACTGGGTAGCTTGAAAATAATGTATATTCAAGTAATTGTTACTGTTATTTCTCCTTGACTCCTTCCAATCAATTTAAACTTAATTTGAAATACAGCAAGGTATTTTGCTTATTAGAAATATTAAATTTAATCTATTAGCTTTAAATTAAAACTAGAATGAAAGATTTAAAAATTCTTTTGAGGTATACACACACACACATATATATATATATATATATATATATATATATATATATATATATATATATATATATATATCTTGTTGTATGGTGTACTTCTTACAAATGTGTTTTCAGTTAAATAAAATCCCTTATCAGCTCTCAGTACTTATTTTGAAATTGGACAAGAAACTGATTTAGAAGTTAATATTTACTTTTAAAAAATGTTACTGAAACACTTCCACTAGGTAAATTTCTTCTCATTTGATCTAATCTAGAATTCTTCCTACTTTAAAATATTCTGACTGGAATTCTCTTGAACTTTAATAGAGAACTACTGCAGATGGCAAAGAGGCCCAAAGTAACCCCCCCCTCCCCGTTTTTGTGTGTGTGATCAAGTAATGGTCAATGCAGCATTGGAGAAAATGTCATACCACCAGGACGAAAACTGATTTAAATGTTTCTCGTGTGTAAACTTTCCCAAAAGGAAAAATGTTGTCTTTGTGAGTCACACATATAAAGCAGATAGATCCCAGAGTCAGATTCTTGCAAGAGTCTCTTTTTACATATGTAAATTTTTGTTGTCCATGAGGATATAAAAAGTGCATAATGAGGTGACCGTGAGAACAGCAACTGCTGTAGTGAACAGGAGTGTTTGACTTAAGGAAACGGGTTACAGGAATTGGTTACAAGACAGAAAATAATCTACAATTTTTAACAAATTTTTCACTACAACTCATTCGAATCATTAAACCATTTTTTGTTTTTCCTTTTAGAAAAGACCATGATAAATGTGAGTTTGAAGTACATGAAGTCTATGGTCTTGATGTCTTGGTTAGCACTGGAGAGGGAAAGGTAAGTACTCATGTTTCCATTAAAGCTTTTTCTTCAACAGATGAGTTGGGCAATAGATTGATCATTATGGCTTAGGGGTCAGGTATTGAATATTTAAATTAACATTTTCTATAGGGATTAACATTTAACAAGTATAAGCCTGAAATATATGAAATCAGATCTTTGCGGTGTGTTTTTTAATATGTTTTACAGGCAAAAAAAATGAATAAAATATGATGGTTAGATTTTATTTGCAAATTAAATATATTTTCTAAGTGAAATTTGCAGTTTTTGAAAAACTTGGGTATAAATAATTTGGTTCATTTCCCCCCTCCCTCAATAAAACAAACAAAACTTAAAAATTTTCAGGGAAATCATTAGATAAATTGGAAAGTGTCATGCCTTTTAAAGCTCAAGCAAATTAAACTTTTTTTTTTTTTTTTTTCTTAACCTTTGCAGATATTTCTATTTTGATCAAATGTGGAAATTCTATTATAACAATTACAGTCAGTCATTTATACATGTTAATCGTAATAATGGAAACTTGAAATTATTAACTTCCGACAGACTAAGTTCAAAGCAGTTCTTGAAATTTTCTCTTACCTACATTCTTTGATTTAATTTACTGACTTCTGTATATAAAATTAGTAGCTTGATATTGTTTTCTCATGATTTAGTTTCCCTTTTTTTTGTTCTAACAGTTTTGCATTAGTAAATAATTACAACTACATTTAAAATTCTTTTCTAATCGTTTTCTTTTTTTTAGGGTAAAGAGTTTGATACAAGGACAACCATTTACAAAAAGAAAGATATAATATACCAGTTGAAGATGAGGATTTCTCGACGTAAATATTTTCTTTTCATTTAAAGTTCTTAGGAAATGCTCGGTTTTATCATCTAAATAGTTCTAAAACTTTACAGAAACTTCAATTCCTATCCTAGCAATTCACTCCTCAGATTACACTTCAAGTAATAAAATTTGAAAAAGCATATTAGTATTCAAAGCATAAACATTTTTGAATTGGTGTTTATAGTAAAAAGCAAATGTAATGGTCAGAGTATAAATTGATTTCTCTAATAAGCCTTTTAAGTTTTTGTATTTATAATTGGCTTTGATATCTGGACAAGTCTATTGGTATATTTAAAATTTTATATAAATCTTGCAAAGCAAATACCATAATTTTTCAGGGAAAATAACATGGTTTCATTTGCATAGGTTAGTTTTGATACAAAGCCATATGTATGTAACCCCTGGTGAGGATCAAATTCATTATAAATGATCTCTGGGCCAAGCTTGCTAACCATTACATGATGATGATGTGTGCCTGTTCAAATCTGAGTTATTAATTATACAAAACTGATTATGTAGAAATCTGAGCATGATTGATGCAAACAGACATTTGCAGATTGATTTTGAATGTTTTGAAATCATAGTTTACTTAGCATTCTCTGGTAACTTTTTCATTACAACATTCATATATTGTTCAGTAGTTTTAGCTACACCCCCTCTTTCTTTTTTCTTTTTTTTTAATGGAAATATTGTTAAAAGAAATTTTCTTTTTCAGAATTCCTCAGTGAGGTTGAACGAAAATATGGATTAATGCCTTTCACATTGCGGTAAGCATTCATTAGCAAATTTATTTCATGGTTACTCTTCAGTTTGATTTGTAGTTGACAATTTCCTTCATATACTAAAAAAAAAATAAACGACCCATATACTTTTCAATTTTTGAGTTGTCTGTCATTGTGGAAGTTGTTAACTGGTGTGTAAGGGGGTCAATATTTGGTTTTAAGAAGCAAGGGAAATAAAAAAAAAAAAAAAAATAAAAAAATTTATAGACATGTGTAAAAACTGCTGGAATTGAAAGCCATGAATCAGTGGGTAATAAAGTAGGGATTGTCCACCTAAAGTCAGTTTTAGGCTGTAAAGGTAATTTAGTCATAGAATTCATGACTTGGATTAAAGCTTATTAAACTTTCAAATAAATTGTCAACTATAAATAACTACCATATTTATTAACAAATAGGCAAAATACGAAAAAAAATTGTCGCATAAAATAACTTTATTCTTGTCTTTGGACAACACATTTTGAGAGAGAAAATGGTATATAGCTCTCCAGAAATTAGTTTATAATGTGACTTTAAAAGGCTGAAAAATGAAACCCCTAATGTTTTAAAATAATTAAAAATCAGGCAATTCTTTTTATGCCAGTCAATTGTTATTGGGGATTTGCAAATAAATTTCTTCTAAACAAGGAAAATCAGTGAGCCCCCCCCACACACACACACACACAGCTAAATAAAATTTTATTTTTATCTAGCAAATAATAGACTTAAAATTAAATATTAGAAATAATTAAAAGCTTTTAATTTCATTTTTAGAATGTTTATATTTCCAAATCTGAGAGCATCACCTGTTCTTTTTTAGATACTCATTTTAAAACTTAAATTAAAAACTATTTTAATCATTTTAATATAACAATCTTAAGTGTATTCACCAGATAAAACCATAAAGATATTTGTAAGAAATAAAATGAATTAATTTCCCTTGTTTAGAAGAATTTTATAGGCAGAACAACCACCGAACACTAGTGGGTAAAAATAGAACAATTTTTTACTTGGGTTTACCGTTAAAAAAAACCCCCCCAAAAAAACTTGTCATTTTGAAAATATACACATTTTAAAACTGAGATTAAAACTTCATTTTTATTATTATTTTTTTATATATATATATATATAATCCAATTTTAGGTGTATTATTTGCTAGATAGAAACACAATTTTATTTATAGAAAACAAACAATAATACACTAGAGACTCGCATATCTGGAAGTATACACATTTTAAAATTAAAATTAAGAACTATTTTAATTATTCTTAATATCTAATTTAGGTGCATTCCCTAGATAAAAACAAATTAATTCATAAAAAAGATCTTCATTTTTCTTGTTTTCAACTTTTTGTGATTGGCATACTGGCTTAGAAAACAATTTTATTTTTCCTTACAAAAAATCTGACTTCATAAAATTTAGCATTTTAGACGAAACTGGCAACTTATTTTTTTATTTCTACTTGCTATTTAGTCAACTTTTTTCTTTGTTTCTTTTTTTTCTTTTGCAAACAAATAGATTTCACATTTCTTTCCTAAAACTAGTCAATTAAATGTTTTCAACATTTTTTGTTCAATCTTTTTCTTTTACAGTGGTATAAATGTTGATAAAATTTAACTTATTAATATCTGAAAATCTTTTTTAATAGTGTTTCTTCGGATGTGGTCACTCAGTAGTGATAGGACTTAAAAAGTTTTTTTAAAAAAAAAAAAAAACTATTTTGGTCTCCTGAAATATTTCGATTTTTATCTTCACACTGTGAAACCGAAAAAAAGTTGGTTTTTTGGTTAAACTGCTCATCTCTAATTCAGACACATTTTCCTCTTTATTTTGGATTTCTTTGTATCTTGCCTCACTCAGCATAATTAAAAAATGATATGCAACATACATCTGAGAAAACTAAAGATATTGTTTGAAATAGTAAAAAAAATAAGTGATAACTGAGTGATATATAGGGACAATTAGTGAACTTAAGTACATAACAATTTCTTTTCTTGTCAATAAACCTAGTACTTATTGATTCAACATTGTATATACATAATGAGTATATGATGGACAACTATATAGGTTTTTTTTTTTTTTTTTTTTGGTTTTTGCTGGTTTATATGCATTTTTTCCCATCTCCCTATTCTTCAATACTCAGTACATTGCTGGTCAAAATGGTGCTCATGATCTGAACCCATCCCACCTTCTGAATTGTAGTTGCTTCATGTACAGCTTATGGTACAAACTGAAACCACATGTAGATAATTGAACATAGCACATTTTCTGTAAAATTTACCAAAGTCTGAATGTTTTAGCATATTTTCTGTAAGTTGGTGTATAGTCTACTTTTTACATATGGTTTCATAAGCTGTACATGTCTCTGAAAGGTTTAAAAAAATATTTACCTGCTATAATTTTTTTTTGTTTTTTTGTATTAATCAGGTTATTTGAGGATGAGAAAAAAGCTAAGATGGGAGTTGTTGAATGTGTCAAGCATGAATTAATGCAGCCTTATAACGTCCTTTATGAGAAAGAAGGTATGATCTATAAATTCAGTTATATAGCTTCAAATATAAATTATTCTGTACTCTTTCATTCTTCAAATTGCTTGTTTTATTGATATTTCCTCTTTTTGTTTTGTAGGAGAGTATGTTGCCCAATTTAAATTTACAATTATTTTAATGCCAAATGGACCACTGAAAATCACCAGCCCGCCTTTTGAGAATTCTATTTATCAATCCGAATACTCGGTAACTGATGAAAAATTAAAGGTAATTGCATGTAAAACTTCAGTCTTCTTAGCATTAAATTTAAAACAAGTATTTTCCTTATAACATCAGGTATTGGATTAAGCAAAGCAAATTTTAATACAAGGAATCAAAAATTCTATGCGGTTCTTTAAAAATACTTTAGATATGCTATTATCATTAGTAATCTTGTATAAATACATATCACATCAAGCATATTGGTAATATAAAAACTGCATATACTTAAACACTTTCATAGAACATTCAATGGTTTAATGTAAATTGAACCCTTTACATATTTTAAGCATCAATTATAACTAATAAATTTTTTTTTTTTTTTTCCTCTCTCTGTTAAAATCATACACATATCTCAAAATATTGAAACAAATTAAAATTATAGTTAAACATTTAGCAAAACTAAGTCACTGTAAGTTTCATTATTTTAATGTTATATTCCAGGCCCTCCTGGCTACTTCAGCTGACCGGAAAAATGTGAAAAAGAAGAAGAAAAAAGCTGATCGAATGATGGCAGAGAATGCTGATGCCATCCAACAGAAAGGTGAAGGGAAGGTCCATTGATGAACAGCAGTTAAAGATGCCAACGGTGCTTGACCTGGAAGCAATCTTCCAGTACGGGCACTTGCTACTGAAATCCTAGAGAGAACACGGTGGCAGGATTGGTCTCTGGTGCCATCAATCACTTATCTTATACCCCCATTTGTAGCTGGCTGGCATTTACCTTCTATTTGACCCCTGCCAAGAGTTTTGGGGAGGAGAATAAAATGCCATAATATATCAGTTCCTTTCAATTATTTCTTGGATCTATTGTTATTGTGTGTGAGCTGTTCAATTTTTAACTCAGCACACCAATTTTGGGAGGTAGTGGGTTTACTTTGTTTCTATCTTTCCATCTTTGGTAGGTGTGGTGACCAGTATTGTTGCATAACTGACTCAATAGTTGATTACCATTCTGTACATGGAATCTTGCAGTATTTATTAGATTCCCAGCTTTCACAAGTCCTCCCTTCCCTCTCAAAATTAAGTAGTATAATTGCTAGAATTCTTTTAATGTATAAACTTATTGCATAACTGGACCATTTCTCTGTTCAGTAGATTATCATAAGATAAATGAGTGTTTAAAACCTATCATTTTAATAATGTTATTTTCTACAGATACATCTTTCCCCTTATCTTCTGATATCATATCAGAAGGTAAGACATAGCCTACTAGTTACTTTTAAAGTGACAAATTGCAAAGAGGCAAAATAGGTTGTTTTTCTTTGTTTTATTTTTTTAAGTGGATAAATTTTCCATTAGATGAAAATTCATATTTCACTTAATTAAAAATTTTTTTCTCCTTTTAACAAAGCTAATGACATGTTTGAAGAAATTTTGATCTCGAACTTTTGTTAATTGTTGCTATCTTTATACATACTTCTCTTTGCTTGTTTCTTCAGGGTAGGTAGACAAGCAAACTTCTGTTTTGCCTGGGAGGTCTTGGTAGTTCATGCTGTTAGATCTCAAAATCTCTGAAACTTGAAACTCTTCTACTGTGATAATGCTGGGAAACCTTTTCAAAATTTGATATTTTAACAGTTCATGGAGAGAAATGCCAAGAGAAATTCTTTCCCTTTTGTTTGTTCTAAGCTACATTATTTCATTGCTTTCATGCACACATACCACAAACACATAAGCGCTAACATGTTGTTAGTGGTTCTTTGTTCACATTGGTTAGAAAAATGAGAAACTCTAATCATTTTTAATTGGTCAGTATGGCAACAACAAAATTAGAGCAAGGAAGGAAAATTTCAACATTTTTTTTTTTTTGCCTCAGTCCCACCCCCTCCTCATATATATATATATATATATATATATATATATAATATATAAAATTTTAGTTTTCTCTTTTCATTCACTGATGTGCACCTTGGGAATACTGCCAAGTACTGTGTTACTAGCTGACAGTACATGGCCAACATTGTATATAAATTCTTGCATAGTGACAAACTGAAAGGTCATTCTCTGTGGATGTATTTTGGTTTGCTTTTTATGGCTTTTGGGAAGGCTGTCTCCAACCACTGGTTGTTAAGGTCCATTCAAGACAGCTGTAACCTGCTGATTCTTAGCAAGCAGAACCATTACTTGTTGGGATGTTGGAGGTATTGTTATTGGGAAGCACTGTTAGAAGAGCATTCTTCACTTGAATTTTCCAGGTGGGTGCTGTTTTGGTGATATTGATGTTCATTGTGGATCTTGAATTATAATAAACAGTTGTGAGCTTCAATAACAGCTGGCTCACAGCTTGGATGTCATGTTAATTTGTCTTTTGTTTTTAATATGAAAGTAGAAATCTTGATTTCAATGTGAATGAAAAAGCAACTTTGATTGTTACTGTGTTACATTGCATTTGTAAAATTTTGAACTACCATCTAAAAATGATTGAAAAAGAAAAATACTTTATAACTAAAGCATTTTCAGAATTTGTAGTGTTTGCTATTGACTTTAATTTCCAGGTTATGGAACTTGATAAAATCTTTTTCTAATATTGTAAAAAGTTGAAATTTTTTTTTTTTTTTGCTATTTTTGCTATATATGAAGATTGATCAATAATTCTGTTGACAGTTAACTTTAAAAATATAAAGTCAGTATTACATTTTGATGTCTGGTGCATTATAAGTGCTTAGAAAGATATTGATGATGGATTTCTATTTCTTGTTTGATGTAAACAAAATAAGTTTGTTTCTCTCAAAAGAAAACATCAGCTTTTTTTTTTTTTCCTTTTATTTTCTAAAAAATTGTTTTCTCATTTTAAACATAGTTCTCAATATAAAATTTTGATTCATTTTTATAAATAACATTTTAATAAAAACCGAATCTAAGCTCTAGGTTTTTTAGGTGCTTTTTTGGGAAAAAGTGGGATGAATGTAGATTTTAATTTGTCACAAATGTCATTAGCAGGCAGTGTAGAATTTGAATCTTCAGCTGAGCTTTCAAACACCCAGCCAACCAATCTATCAATACAAGGAGTGTCCAAATTTGAACCCACTTTGTGAAGAGCTTTTTTAAATTGGGATACACTGAGTGAACTGAAAATAAAATAAAAATTAAATTAATTACTTTAATAGTTATTGTAAATTTCTAATTATTGGTATCACTTCTATACTTCACTCATGTTTTACAAACTTCAGTATGGTGTATTGTTTAGGTTGAAAAAAAAAAAAAAAAAGAAGAAATCTCGCCTTCAGCCATTACTGTTTTCATTGTGTAATTTGAGTCATTTTACTTTCCTGGAGGGTTTCTCACAAATGTATGCTTGTTAGAAGGCAGTATAATTGTTAGATGTGATCTTATTCCAAGTATCTACATTCCATAGTTCCTTTGACTAACATCAAATGCTTTTTGTTTAGTGCAGTTTAATATGAACTGTTAGTTCATATTAAACTGATCTGATCAGCTTCTATATCATCCTACAAGGATAGCTTTATCTTGATCAAAACCATTTTAAGTATTGCTTGCTGACTCATTCTCAGCTGTCTTCATCATTTTGTTTCTTTAGTGATTTCTTCAAATCAGGCACAAATTTCTAATTTAAATTAAAAAAAAAAAATTAATGGCAAATTTAGGTGACTGTCTCACATTTTCCTCTCCCATTCAGAATCCCCTGCTCTGTGGTTATTGGTTATCTAGGCTAATGTTTCATCCAAAAATGGGTTTGTCAAAATATTACATGCAAAATTTACTCAAAAAAAAACTTACCTGCTATGTCCACTATGACGTAATTTATTAATAAATTCTGTCTGCATTTCATGCTGCCAATCTAAAACTGCTGTTAAGAATAAACCAACTTCACCTTCGTCGTCCTGTAACAACAAAATATTTCTTTATATCCAAGAAATTTGAAAAGCATCTGGAAATTGCACAATACATTTTAATAATGCATGAAGTTACTGTTCTTTATTCTTGGTTATAACTAAATTCTAACTTCAAAATTTGAAGTCTTGCTAATGAATGACATTTTATATCATGATAGAATCATTAAAGTATCTGGGTTGTTAAAATATTAAATTAGCAACACGTTTGGTGGAAAAACCATACATAGGTACAAACTATTGTATTTAATACTAACAGGATAACTGTTCATTAACATAATTCAAGTAGAACAAGAAACTAAGTTGAGGAGACTTGTTACAAGAGTTTCTGATAGAATTTACTAAAGTAGGTGTGCTCATTACCAGAAGAAAAAGCTTTGTATATTCTATGTTGCCCTTTGTTTGCAGTTGCTGTAAGGCCATCTTTAACAGAAAAAGCATATCCTCTTGGTGTGTGATACCGAAATATTGCACAAGTTCTTCACTGAATTCTTTCTGAGTCAGGAAACCCACATCTGGTGGTTCTACAGTATCCTCATTCTTTTCTTCCTGCCTCCTTTTTTCAGCTGCTTGTAATGTAAGAAGTAGATCTGATGATAGGTTTTGTCTTGCATAGTATATATTTTCATCAACCTGTTGGTACAAAAACAATACAAGGATTTTATACTTTAAATACAAAATGAATGTATGTATGTATATTTAAAAAAAAAAAATTCAGAAGCCTGAATTTTAAATCTAATTTTTATTTTGTCATGCTATAGTTATAAACAAACTTGTATGTTATAGAGAGGAGAAAAGGAATGTGAGTTATTGTATTTTCTAATCTTAAATAATATAGAGGCTGAATAAAAATGGATAAATTTTTAAAAACAGTGGGGAGGTCATTTTATGGAAAATTTCAATAGTTTGAGAGAAAAGTATTTTGTCTTACATTTCCATTGAGGATTTCCAGAAACAGGTTAATATTGTCATAGTTGTGTGCCAATTTTTGGCAGGCAGTATTAAAAGTGTATGCCCACTTGATCCTTTCTGCAGCAGTTGGAAATAGTTGTTTCAGATAGTCATTAAAAAATTCAATTAAAGGTTTAGACTTCTACAAGAAAAAACAAGAGACCAATATTTGATCCGAATTTATGTAACATTATAGTTATGTTGTGTATAAAATTTAATGATTTAGTTTAGAAATAGACAAAAATTTAGGAATGGCAAATACAATGAATAAATATCTAACAACTTTGAGTTCAGAGGATTCACCTACATGTGAAAATCCTCATAAGAAAAATGAATAATTAGACTTGAAAACAATTATCACTGAATATCAGGACTTAAGTGATTTGATAAGGTCAGTAATATTTGCACTTATTTATATTGTGATAAGATCGTCTGTCCTGATTTAGGGATTGGCATTGGTTATTTAAAAAGAAAAAAGTTTCAGTGCCTTTTCATTTGAATGAATTGTTGAACATAAATTATCAATTAGGAAAAGGTGAGGAGTTTGCCCCCTCAAAGTTTTGGCTTAGTTCTCTATTAGGAATTGGGATTCTTTCTCTTTTTCACAGATGAGTAGTAGTTGGTAAAAGTTGCCTAATAAGAGCAATGAAAGCAGCCCATTAAGACTATATGCATTGCTTAACAGTGTTCAGCAAGAGACAGACCAACTTTAATCCCCAAAAAGCCATAAACAAATGTGATAAGCTAACTCTATCCACACTGTCAATAATTTTTATAAATATATCATCTGCAACTTTAATTCCAGTCAACTCTGAAGCAAGGGGGGATCACCCAATTTTTGAAAAATAATTTTCAATTTAAATCAACTAGAAGTGAGATCATTGTTTAGTCAAAAATATTTTAAAAGTTATTTTAAATTTTGATGAGTTGTTAAAGACACTCTATATCATCTTGTCCTGACTAAAAAAAAATCCCCAAGACCTTTTGCAAATATTTTAACCATTTTTATCTTGTCACTTAAGATACAATTCAAAATGTGAAAATCCATTGAACTCTTACTTAGCATAGATTTTAAGATAGTCACAAGTGTTAAGATGTGTTAGAAACACATAAGGAACTTTTTAAAAAGGGGGGGGGAGTACCACTTACAGCCTGTGTCTCTCTCATTCTGGCTGCCCAAATATCAGCCACCATTAGATAACAATCTCGAACAAACATTCTATAGCTCTGCACTTCACCTTCATATCTTAAAAATGCAGGCACTTTTGGATCTAGGCCCTGTAAAAATCAAATTATATTTTTAATGAGTATAAAAATTGATTTTTTTTTTTTTTTTTTTTGTGATACAAATGTAGAAAAAAATGAAAAGACAAATAATGCTGCTCAGGTATTGTGATTGAGCTACTACTGGTGCACGACAATGGTTAGAGTGTTAGCATTCCAACTATGAGACTTTGGTTTGAATCTCATCATGATCAATTATCATACATTGTTAAGAATGCAAAGGCCAGAACCAAAATATTCTGATTGGCCAGAGTACCACATGGGTGTTGTATTCTGATATTGATGGATTGCCTTAATCTGGGTTTGAGATTTAGGTCCAAAACTGAATTCAACAGATGGCTGCAAGAATTTTGAAGGGTCAATATGCTTGCACCATCTGGCTTCAAGAAACAGGCTAAGACCACTTGGAAAGGAATGCTAAACCAAAATGTGTTTCCATGACGTGATTCCTCTGACTGCCTCTTGAATCAAAGCTGCCACATTTGACCCTCTCTTCTAATAAAAATGAATAAGAAATAATCATCTTTTTTGTTAATACCATGTTATCCAACTCTCTTCAACATTTGGAGATATAAATAATAACATTCTGGTTTGGAAAATCCAAAGAAAGAGTGGCTAAAACTGTCAACAATGATTTGAAGGTTGTAGTGGAAAATGAATTTAAAATCTAAGAGATGTTGCAGCAAACTTCAGTGTATCTATTAGAAGAATTTCAAGCCATTTGAGAGTGCCTCATTCTATCAGCAAACACAGACTTAACTTCATTGAGGATATGTTTGCAATTATTATAAATAGTTACAATGAGCGTTCTGTTGTGATCAATGATATATAATAAACCAATGAAAGACTGAGTTCCATTTGAATTCAATGAAAAATTTAAAAAAATCAGACATGCAAAAACCTGCATTAATTATGTCCAATGGTGTGAAATTGACTTGTTTTTATGAATGATGTGAAAATAAATTCATCACTGATGATGAAAAATGGATTTTGTATATTAAACTGAGATCTGCACAATGACTGGATATAGATAAGAAGCCAGAACATCAATTGAAACTGTTATTATCACTTGAAAGTTATTGTGAATATTTGGTGAAGCAGGAGCAGTTAAATATACCATAGATTTTTTTTTCAAAGTATGAGGCAACAAAACAAAACAAAAACTACCCAGCCGGGTAAATAAAAAAAAGTAACATTTATTCTCATATTGAAAGAATTATAATGAAGTTCAATAACTTAAAAATGGAGGTTTTCCTATTCACCCAAACCATTATAATATTTTTTGAGCATTTAAATCATTAGCTTTCAAGTGCAATCAAGTCTTTAATGAATTTACAGGTTCTTTAATGAATTCCTTCAACAGGAAATTCATTTTAAAAAATTCTTTCAAGGTCAGGAGAAAAATAAATCTCAGAAAGTTTTCAATATTTTGTTTAAATATTAAATTCCATGACTTTAAATATAGAGAAGGGATGTAATGTTTGGACATAAACAATTATTTATAAAGAGTGTAGATATAAATTATTTACATTATTCGGACTATTGTCCTCATCTTTGTCGCCATATTTATCACAACGTTGTTCCAGGTGGTTGGAATGTCGAATTAACCCTTTAAATGGGGTAGTTCCATGTGCAATGTTTGATGGATGTCAGTTATCAGTTATTTCCTGTTAATTTCCCTCTGAAAGTTCTCCACTGCCTTAACCAGATATTGAACTCATGCTCTTTGGGTCCTGTCACTGGATCTAACCAACGCCTTTATCCACTGTGCCATGTGTCCTTGAGTATGAATTTCTGGGTATTATAAACCTAATGTCTTCAGCAACCATTTTTACCAGTGCTCATATTGCAATTTTGCTGTTATCATTGCTTTTCTCTGGCACTCGTTATTACTGGTTCCCATATTGTATTTATTTCTATGCTTGGTCAGCTCGTTGTGATAAATATGGCGACAAAGATGAGGACAATAGTCTGAATAATGTAAATAATGTACATAATACCTCATCTCAGAAATATAGACAGAATATAAATTATTAATGAATCAAAAAATAAACATTTTAGATTACATAGCAAAAATATACATTGTTTGGTTATTGTGTTGAATTGACATGTTCTACTTTAGTAGAATGGAAAATGCAACATGTTTTTGTTATCAAAGATCTTTAATTCAAATGAAGTTAACCACCAATAGGAAGTCATAATGATGCTGAAAGGTTCTCAAGAGCTAAGCCGATGTTGGACCACTTGGCAGGGAGAACAAAAAAGGAATAGCTTTAAATAATTTCATCAACAGATTAATCAATAAGAAACTTCATTTAAATATGCAATATACAAAATAACACTTCCCAAGATGCCTAGAGATTCTGTTAAGTGATGGTTGTTTGAAGTTACATTTCTTTTAACAATAATTAAATAATCAGTTACTTCCTAGGAGAGCAAGTCTTGTTACTTACCAATCCAGGAAGGACAGTATGTTCTATAGCAATGCTATTGGTGATTGTTATACAACCACTATTTTCATTGATCATTTCCTGCAAAATCTCAAGCAGACATTGACAAGACAATCCTGAAGACACTTCCTGCCAACTTGTCTGACCTCCATTTATGTAATCAATGCATTTATTCCAGTGATCTCTGAAAAAAAAAAAAAAAAAATGAAGCATCATCCAATGTAGATTAAAAATAATTATACAATTGTTTTGATATATTACTTAATATCTACAATATTTGTTTCATCATGTTTTATTTTATCGAAAACATTTTCATTGGCATGAGAAAAGTGATAATATTAAAGGTCCCCACTCAACAAAAATGTTTTGTAGCTAGAATCTAGAGATATATTTTTCTACAGTTGTAGTGGTGTTAATGATTTTTTAAAATGTTGACACATTAAAAAAGAGAAATTTTTCTGGAAGTAATGAAGTCAAAAAGTAAAGAAACTCAAAACCAGGGAACTCAATGAAAAAAAAAATTTGGTGTTTTGATTTTTACAGTAGAAAATCTGGTGAAATTCTGTTAAAAAATGTCTGTATGATTATTCCTAGATATTTCCTATGATATGTACTTTAACTCATTTGTCGTTGGCATTTGCTTGCATTCAAGCATTGGGATCATCACCCTCTCTCCTTATTCCCTTTCTCCTTTCTGGAGGTGGTGACAGAGATGGCTTTGAAAACCTATCTGAAGAATAATGACCAGGAGTCACAGAGGAGTGTGTGTGGTGGACGCAGCTGGGTTACTCAAGCCTTCCTGACAGCATGTCGCAGATCCTCTTCATGTTGATGGCTGGTCTTGAAAGTCTTGGCCCACCTTTGGATGGTCCTATGCCAGGGAGGCTGATTTGCAGCAATGTTTTCTCAGCTGTAGTTCAATATTGGCCTGTGTCAGGAATGTTTTCAATGACCATTGTTTTGGGTCTCCACGTAGCCTTTTGCCACTAGCAAGTTCTCCAAACAGGATGATATGTAGGAGTCAAGGGGGACACATTCTGGACATATTTAATTCATATTACACAAATTAATCATGAGTTTTTATTGGAAATGAATATTTTTAATTCAAGATATTTTATACAGAATGTAAATATCAAAATATCTGCTTTAAACCAGGTGGAAGAAACAGATTTAAAATCTTTAAAAACAAAACTACTTTTTTTTTATCATTTCATCTCAATAAAGCTATTGAGATGTAAGGGGTTACTGAGTGTGAAACAATGAAAAAAAGAAAACCTACATTACTAAGAAGAGAGAACAATAAAAGAACAAATTAAAAAGACAGAAAACAATTGACATTGCATTTAAATTTTTGAAAAATCAAAGTTAACTGGAAGTAAGAAGATGGAAAAGAGTAGGAACTGTTAACATAGAACTTACTAGCCATTTCAGCTGTAAAATGGTGAGACCTAACTGCCAATCTAGTACTGTACTTAAATTCATAAAGTTGAGGTATCAAAGAGGAAAGTTCATCAGAACTATTATTGTGAAAATATTTATAGAAAAAGCACAGGGAAGCTACATTATGGTGGTGGAAAATTGTCTGAAGTTGGGATTCCAGGTTAGGACCAATAATATAGCACGTTCTTTGGATTTTATCAAGAATCTTTAGATACATAGAAGTACCAGACCAGATGTGGCAGCAATATTGAATGCATCAACAAATGGTAGTGTGACGTCACCCTGGGCCTCTCCTGTGCTATCCTGTGATGATCTAACCCTTGGCTGATTCGGATGGAAATCTGGTTAGATTCGGCATCAGCTTTGTTGTTTCCAGCTCGCCTCCAACATCTGGTTACTGAAGTAACTGCTTTGATTTCTAGTCTAACCTACCCACGTTGTGATTTGATCTTAGGTAGACGAAACCAATCAGTCGTCGGGCCGTAGTGCAAGCCAAATTCGAGCAAAGGTGACACCACACAAGTATATGTAAAAGAAAATAAAGTAACAACTTGAAAGATTCAAATGTGTTAAAAAAAAAATAACAAGTATCTTTATATCTGGTTGCTGAATACAGGACTGTGTCTTTCTCCCAAACCGCTTCTATGGATACATGACACTTTGTGTTTCTTAGGCGAGTCTTAATATCTTAAGTTGTTTTTCAATAAACTGGTTTTTGGTGCCTTCAGGCGATATTCATAAAACTTGTTTTGGTGGTATGAGTCTAAGTCGTTCTTCAAAAAAAAATTGTTTTTGATTAGAAGTCTAAGTCGGAACGTGTAGAATCTTTCAGTCCGCTCCTGTGAGGCTGGTCTCCAAGCTCACAGCTCAATTCTGTCTGCTCTGTAACTTTGTCTGCATCTGCCCGACTGCCACCGTCTGCATCTGCCCAACTGCCACTGTCTGCCCAACTGCTCTGGGGATGTTCATTTATATGGATGCCGACCAAAACCGGGTGGGGGCCTGTCGTGGTTTGGGTTCCTCGATAATTCCAAATCCGCAATAAGGATTTTCTTTGTTTTCGGACAGGAAAATTTATCACTTCCCATTTTTGGAAGTCAATTACTTTCTGTTTTAGAAGGGTTCTTAAGGGAATTGTCCTCCCAAATTCTTCCTTTCTCATATTGGTATCTCACACCAATCCCCTCAGAGGCGTCAACAGGTTTCCCTTCTTTCTCATATGTTTACCTTCACCCATCGCTCACGCTACCATTCAGCCAATGAACGCTCGGCAGTGTGGGTGTGGCTAGACTGGCCTCAGTTTACAATTATCGCTCAAAGAAAAAAATTATCTTCCTTTTTCTTTTCTTTCTTTTCCCCGACTAGAACCCCACAACTCGTACTGTGATCATTAAATCTCTATCTTAACTGAATGTCATCTGGGATTCATCAACGAGATTTTCGCCAAGTGATTATCTGGGTGGTCAAGTGAATCTCTTTGTATTCCTCAATGTCTTCGTACTTCTGTCGCCAACATTCTGTCCAGGTAACAAACTTTTATCATGGCAAGGTCTGGACATAAAACAGGTGGTTCTCTTCCAAAACCAAATGATATCTCCGAAAGTTAATGGTTTATTCTTTTCCTTTTTCTCTTCTTCCTTCCTTTTTCTTTGGGTTGGTCTCAGCTGATCCTTTTCTCGGTTGCATGCTCGACCCAATTCTGATTATCTTCTAGCATTTCGCTTTGTAAGCCACTTGACCAATTTGAAATTTTCATTATTGCCATGGGCAGATTGCTATCTTTTATTCGCCGCGTCATGGCATAAATTAATTCTGACAGATCTGAGATCTTACGAATTTCCTATCTTCTGCGAAAAAAATACTTTTCTTCGCAAATGAAAATAAAATCTTTACCACTTTTCTTTGTTAAAAAAAATAACATCGCTCAGTATGTCTTTCGTGATAGCTTCTTCTCGCCTTAAGTATTTCTCGCTTTTAATTTTCATGCTTAATTAGTTAGCCAAATGCTAAATAGTGTCACAGTAGACTTATAAATGTGTAAGATACATTCTGGTGATAAAAATTGTCTAGCATAACACGGAGAACCAACTTTTCCTTGTAGACCTAGAAATTGATTCAGTATAATCTTTCTACTGCATGTCAGTGGAAAACATTAGCCTGAGAAGGGTGCAATGAGTCACTCTCTTGAAGTTTAGCATTAGCCATGCTGATGGAAGGTAAAAAAGGTTGTATAAAATGATTAAAAGAGAGCAGCTTCGTTTTAGAGGTGTTAAAATTAATAAGCTATTTCTTGCTCCAGTTAACAACAGATTGTAGATCATTTTTTAAATTAGCTGCCAATATGACCTTATTGAACCTGTCATATCCTATCGGAATTCTAATTCTTTAACTCAAATGGAACATCCACGTCTCATATGACAAAAACAGACCCTGATTTAGTCTTGCTCTGCACACCCATTTTCAGAATACCATCCAAAAATATCAGGGTCATAAAACATCTTTTTTGACCAATCAGAAAGAAGCCCACATGGTTTTTCACAGCAGCCATTTCTAAGCCACTGACCAATCAGGCTAGCATTAGAAATGGATTCCCACACAGGCAAGCATTTTGTTCTTGTTCACCAGCAGCAAGACTAAAATGCTTCCATCAACAGCAGAGACTCACTCTTGACTACTACAACACGATAAATCATGGAATATTTCTCTCATGACTATCTCACCTGACTACATATGTGTTGATTTTCTCTCATGAGTCTATCTCGACTATTACCTTGTGTCTCCCATGACTGATACCCAGAATGAACTCCTATACATATCTCAATTGCGTTTTATCTCCATTTGTTGTTTTGTCCCTTCCACTTTTTTCCCCCTTGGTAATGGTAAGGCTGCCATTACAAACTGATCAGACTTACCATTAAGACATGAATAAATAGTTGCGTCATCAGTGTAGATACTAATACAGATAACCTCAGGGAGGTCATTGATAAAAATTAGTAACAATGTAGGTTGTTGAAATACCATAACCTTTCAACTTGTGAAGAAGACCAGAATGCCAAACCCTGTCAAGTTTTTGACATATTCAAGACAATAGCCTGAGTTTCATCCTTCTTAGCTAAAGCTTGCCAGCTTACTCTGAAAGTAATGTTTTCTATTTCTATGGAAACTACAAGATATGAGGAACACAATAATACTTTTGGATTGAACAAATTTTCACCTACAAACCACAGTTTTTCCACATAGTCACTAACATTGGTTATACATTTTCAACAGCAATAAACAAGTGCATGTATGCCATTTCCATAAAAATGTAGTCCAACCTTTATTGGTCTGAACAAATTAAAGTCAGAAGATGCCAAATCCAAACTATAGTGGGTATGTAAGGACATTCCAGCTAAAATTCACAATGTGATCTATGGCCTTCAAACTATTGTAAGGAAGGTTAAAAAAACTAATGTCTTGCCACCAACATCCTCTACCTTCTACACTGTGAATCAACATAATGAAGCATTGCTTTTAGACAAAGCCTCATATATGTGCACCTTTATAAGTCAGTTATAACTGAAAGATGCCAAGATTAAAAATTTCTAAACTTGTCACTGTTTTCAATAAATAATTTTAATCTTCCGTATTGCAATTTATCTTTAGGGGTGTTAAAATACAAATGCTGATAAAACAGAATTTTTGTTTGTGTGTAATGGAAACTACTATTTTTAAGTAGAGTCTTAATGGTTTCAAGTAGAATCCTAGCTTAAAAGAAATAAAGAAAGAAAATCTATTTTCTTAAGTTGAAAAAATATAGACTTGATCAAAATTCAAAAGAAATATTTGTTCTACATACGTAGCTACTTCAATCCTTTTTAGTTTCTCACATTCAACATAATAGTAATTTCGCTCCTCTGTCAGTTTTGAATGAACAGCCAATAATTCACTGAAAATAAATTTAAAATATTATATAAAAATCAAAGACAAAATGACTAATTATCATTGAATAAAAAACAAAATTAAAATTGTCCAAAAATTATTTTTAATAAAAGTATCTAACCTCAGCAGAAAGATATTTTCTAGTTTTCAATCAGTCAGCTGCCTGAGGAGAGAACTTAACCCTATTTTGTGTTATAATTATAGGTCATGATATTTGTAATGTGTACAATGCAATCTCATCAACCACCATCAAATAGTTATGTGTAAAAAGCAAGAATATTTTGTATAAATGTATCGCTACTTTACTATACATTAAATTTTGTGTAATGTATTGTTTTATCAGGATGATTTCAACCACTCATTGGGATACCTTTGGCAATGTAAGAATTGATAAAGATGAGGGTTTCTATCCCAAAGCAGATCCACCAACCATATGTAAAAGGTAGCAGTTAAGATTTTGCAACTACATCCCAAAAAGGTCTTGTTGGAGTTAGAACCAAGAGATCTATTTTTCTACAGTCTTATGGTATCAAAGAGAATAAAAAAAATGTTTCTGTTTTAGTATTAAATTATGAAAAACCTGAATATCATCTTAACTGCAAGAGGGGGCTGAAAAGTTCTCAGCCTCATCCACCTTTCTGAACTTAGTCATAGTTAATTGTAAATAATAAATTTTGTTAATTTTGACAAATTCAAGCAAATTCTCATTTAAGGTGTTTGTTTTTTTAGTAAAAACAATATGGGTATTTGGTGGCGGGGGGTACTGAAATTTTCTTAGTAGAGCCAATGAACAATAAAGGAATGACCTAGATGCAAAATATGTTCTTCCACCTATTCCTCTTGCAGTTCAACACCTTTGGCGCATTGTTTTTCAAGTTGCGTTAACTTAAAAAAAAGAATAAAAAATGAACATTGTAATACTGATCTCCTGTTGCTGTCACCTCTGAATCCTTAGAAAATTTCTCTCCCTTTCAAACTCCTTTTGAAGTTTAAAAACAAGAAACAGATGGAGCAAGATCTGGTGAGTATGGTGACTGGTCGAGGCATTCAAATTCCAAATTCATAAAAAATTTCATTCTTGCCAACCCTGTGAGCTGATGAGTTGTTTTGAAAAAAAAAAAACACTTCTCCACAACTTCCTTTAATATTTTTTTCTTTCTAATTGGTCCTTCAGAAGATAGTCATCCAAATAGCTTTCTTATCTTCCCAGCAAAAAAAAAAAAAAAAAGCTATGACATTTCCTGCTTACTTCAGTGTTGAATTTCTTTGGCCAGAGAGAACTCAAGTGCCACCATTACATAGAGAGTTTGCTTAGTCTCCAGACATATCGTTAAAAAAAAAAAAGCAACTTATCACTAGATTGTTGCAAAATCAATTTCACTTGATATCATTTGTGGTCAGCATTCAAAAACCTTAGCACTTACTTAGCTGATAGCTTCTGCTCATCCAATTGCTTATGAATTATAAACCCAACCCATCTCCTGGATATCTCTTGTATTTCAACAATTCTTTTGACCAATATTGCTGGTTGGTTACAAACATGATCAACAATTTCAAAAAACGACACCACAAAACCTCCAAGACTTTTCAGCATCTTAGGTACCAAAAATCTCCATGTTTGAAGTTGGCATGCCATGTAGTTACAGTTAAGTATATCAGGCACTTGTCATGCTATGGTGATTTTCTAAGTGTAGCTTAGATGGAGTACAAGGCTGAAAGTATGTAACACTCAGTGAGGATCAAACCCACTACTCATGATTGTTATAGCAAGACATGTTTGCTAACCATTACACTTGTCACTCTATGTTTGCATCATGCACTTATAGATTTTTCTTTGGAGTTTTCTTCTACAGGAACTTTATGACCACTTGCAGTTGAACCCTAGAAAATGCCATACTTTCTGTTGACATGGTTCAGTCAATAATCTGAAACAAATAAGAAAAATAAGTGCAACGATTCTGTAAATTGGACTTTACAATATAAAAGAACAGTCTTTCTAGCTACAGAAAGAAAGTCTCAGATTTTGTGAAATGGGCTGGGCTGAGAACTTTTCATCAACCTCTTGGAGTTATGGTGATATAATTTGTTTAAACGGACAAAAAAAAATCTTTTGTATATGAGTAACTTATATATCTGATATCCCCAATTTTTTTTGTTTTAAATACTTGATAAATTTATCTTACCTCTGTTTGTTTTGCATTGATTTGAATTCATTCAAAATTTTCTCACGGTTTTCACTAATTTCCTGGGAAAATAAAACAAATCAATAAAAAAAAAAATTTGAAAATTTGTCCTTTTTCCCTTGATGCAAATTCTGTAGAAACTTCAAAATAATGCAACTTGATTACAAAACAAGAACTAACCAATGATATGTCAGATTAGGAGAAACAAGTGACCTGAACACGAGGAGCATAACACTAGTGAAAGAAACTTTCCACAATCATAATAGTGTATGTGATGTGTATATACATACTGACAGGTATACACACATTATATATTAGGTTGTTCAGAAAATAATTTTACTGTTATGAATTATGAGTCAACAAACCAACAAATGGTAGGAAACTATCTAGAATAAGTCTATCATTTCTCCTATCTGACCGTGTATTATTTATAATGCATTTCAGAGTAAACCCCATAGAGGATAATAACTTTAAAAAAATAGCATATTGACATTAACTACTGTATGAATTCCAAAAGGGTAGTACTTTTACAGAGACATTTAAAAACATTTGTGCAGTGTATAGAGGTGCAGTGAAGACTTGTACATTAGTTGTGGTTTAAAATATTTACAAATAGCAATTGTGACATACCTAGCAAGCCTTACCTCTTTGAAGGAAAAACTTTTGAAAGAATCTAATGAATTGGATCCACATCAAAGCACCAGAGATTTGGTGTCATGTTCAGCTATCCATGAACAGCTCAAATGAGTTGGAAAAACTTGCAAAAATGCTTGAGAACTGAACATGTCTTTTAATCAGGAATGCCAACCTTTCATTTTTGCATAACATTGTTATAGGTAATGAAAAATGAGTTTTGAACATCAACAGAAAATGAAGAAGATAGTGGCTATCATAAAATGATAAACCAGTGCCAACAACCAAAACCAGGACTCCATCCACAGAAGCTCTAGCTTTGTGTCTGGTGGAATATGAAAGGTATTGTCCATTACAAAGACCCCCCCCCACTACAGATGCTTATTGTTAGCAACTTGATTGGGTAAATGAAGCATTATGTTGAAAGTATCCTGCTTTGGTGAAAAGCATGATAAAGGCACCTTTTGCAAAAGAAAAGAAAAGAAAACCCCAAAATATTGTTAAGATGGGAGGTTCTTCCACATCCTCAATACTCACCAAATTTCACTCCAACACATTTTGATTTGTTTCAATTGCTAAAACATTTCTTAATTGTCAGAACATTTAAAAAATAAAATAGTTGAAAAGACTATTTCAAAGTTTTTTTTTCAGAGAAAAAAAACAAATTTCTTTAAATAGGGAATAGAAAATCTGCCTACAGTTGTTGAAAATGAAGGTGATTACATTTTTGATAAATAATATCTAAGTAAATCTAATTTATATTTGTTTTTATATAATTTCTATTAAAACATTATATTCTGAACACTTTTTCCTTGATGAATATATTTTCAACAGAACCCTCAATTTATTTACATCAGTAAATGCATGATATTGTTTGAAAAGATCAAATGAAAATAAAAGATATTTTTTTAAAAGTGGTTTTGCATTTTGGTCTGTGAAATATACTCTCCCAGACAAAATTAATAATGATTACTAAAAAAGAGCCTTTACATTGTCAGTATGTTGATGGCTAACTTGAAAAAAGATGAAACAACACTTAGTAAAAGAAGGTAAGAAGAAAGGAGTAACCATTAACTGTAAGAAAACAAAATGCATGGTTGTCAGCAAAATGGTGAGTTACATATTGGGGATGTCAAAATCAGGTACAGAAATCCAACTATCTATAATAACAGGCAATACAAAGTGTGACACAGAAATCTGAAGGTAAATAGGAATAGCAAAAAGATGCCTTTCAGAAACTAAGCAAAGTGTTGATATTAGAAAATGTTCTTAGAAACAAAGAAAAGAGTGCTGAACTGCTATGGAATATTTAATCTCTATATGATAGAGTAAATGAATATTTAATCTTGTATATGATAGTGAATGCTAGACAATCTCCTCACAGATGAAGAAGAGGCTTAAGGTAACAGAAATGTAGCTCTATTAATGAATACTGAGAATAACATGGACAGAACATGTGTGTAATTAGATTTGTTTTTTTATGGCTCATCAGCCCTTTGTAGGTTGTTGGATTACTGCCCCACTGAAGGTAATCTTCCTCTTTTCCCTTTGACTTTTGGAACACCAAGACAGGATTTCTTTCTCTCCGATTCAGACTAGGCATATAAGTACTTCAGACACACAGACCGAAGATTGTTTTGAACTGTTCATAATTTCAACTTTGTTTCTTTCCTTATTTTTTGTAACATGTCTTGTTAATATATTTATTAATTGTTGTTTGTTTGAATTCTATGTTTTGTGTTCTTTTTTACCTGGACTCATATGAGTTTGCCAAATATTGTTTGTGGGACGAATGTACCAGGAGGCATAAAATGATAACACTTTCCATTCCTGAAACAGGGTTATTTAAAATTGAAACATAAATTAGATTGTAAGAATAATTTTTTTTTGTGTGGGTGAATATTGCATTAACAATTTTTTCAGAATAACAATGATTTTTCTAGATACAAACCCTACTATTTAGCCCATAGCTGGGGGAGGAAATAGATTCATAACTTTCCTAAGGGTATTTGTGTGTTAAGTGAATGTAAAAAATTTGATTGGAATTCAAACTCAGCTTTCTGATTTCTCATTCTGAGCTACTACAATCAGAAAGAGACAATTGAAATTTCTGGGACACGTAATGGAAAGAAGATGTTAGGAAGTTACCACTCACAGGAAAATAGTAAAGGCAAGATAAGCAGATGAAGATAGCATGTGATCTACATAATGAGCTTATGAATGCATAGCAGAACAAGGACAAAGAGGGATAGTAAATGGTCAAAAGTTACTTAGAGCAACAAAAAACAGGAAGTTGTGGAGAGTCATGATTGTTCACATCCTGAAAGGATATGGCACATAAAAGATGATGATGCTTAAATTTACAGATGAAAGAGAGAGCTATTCATGCATATATGTAATTCCTTATATGCATGCTACACGTGTGTGTGTGTGTGTGTGCATATATATATATTTTGACAATTGGAAATGTTCATGAAAATAGATTTGTTTAGAAATATATTTGATAGTGTATTTCTCCATTTAAGGCTTTCTCAGATCTGAAAATGAAAGAATGAAATGTGTTTATGTGTATATGCTTAAATAATGAACCATAGTACTTTTTCTCTAAGTCGGCGTTTCTCGTGACTAAAGAAGAAAGAAAATAAGTGACTTTTAAAAAAATTCATTAATATTTAGTATCTTTTTTTTATTCTCAGTTCGAGTTGAAAGTTATTAATATATTTTCCCAGCTTATGATATTGAATTAAAGTATACACACAAATACATATACACATATTTCATTCTTTCATTATCGAATATATTTCTAAACAATTTTCATAATCATTTCCAATTATCAAAATTGAGAAACTTTATTGGGATTATATATCATAATAATATATATATATATAAAATAGGATACATAATGCAGACAAAGTTTGAAGAATATGACAAATAGAAAACTGTTTCACTGAAACTAGATTATGTGTTTTGCCTTTGCTGGGCTTCATCAGATCAAAATGAAAGAAAGAAGTTTGTATGTGTGTGTATATAATTGAATAATAAATCATTAAGACTTTTTCTGCTAGTGTTTCTGAGGATGAAAAAGTATAAAGGCCATTATTTTTATGCTGTTATGTTTTCTTTAGAATTTTCTTGTTTTTATCCTAATTTATTTATACATTCTCCCAGCTTTTCTGCAATGAAATTAAAATAAATCCATATCTTATTTTCAGAATTGGTTGAAAGTAAAAGATTCACAGAGCCTTTTCTGAAATTAATTTAAGGTGAATATTCACCCAATTTTTCCAGAATGGGTTGAAAATAAAAGATTCATATATTTTTTAGGAACGTCTTTGTGTTTTCCATGTTGACAATATGTATATAAAATAAGATATAGAATCCAGACAAAGTTTGAAAATATGACAAATGGAAAACTGTATCATTCTAAGTAGATTACGTGTTTCGCACTTGCTAGGTTTCATCAAATATATTGTTAAACTGAAAGAGCAAATAAGAAAATACAATGATGGTCACTTTATTTGTAGTGACTTGATCAGGAACTGAAATATGTCATTGAAACTATTCAGTAAAATAATATTGTCTTAATTTCTTAGACCTCTAAATGTTCTGACCTACAACGTTGCATACATTAATGTAGTGATTAGAAGATAAATATTAAAGATGGTTCTGAGGATAAAGAAAGCCTAAGAAAGGCATGTAAACATTTTCATTGTATTTAATTTGAAAATTAAAAGATTAAAATATAAATCACTAACTTTATATTTTTCTTCAAGTTCAGCATATTGGGGTTGTGGTATGAGATCCGAATAATTAGCAATCATTTCATTTATTTTTTGACTGGATATTTTTTCCCGCTCACGTGCCTCCCTTGAAGAGAATAAGAATAAAGAAATTGCATATAAGAAGTTTTTCTACATATAGAATAAAGTTCTTATTTCTACTATTTTGGTCTATTATGTATTTTCTACTGGTTGAGTCTATCATGCATTTTACAACAACAAGGCTATGAAAACAAAAACTCTAAATAGTTACTTGCAATTGTTCATTGAGAATTAGATTTGATCTTCAAATTAGGATTATTTTAATTGTTACTGTTGTGAGGGAGAATATTTCCCTACAACTTTGGATTCAGCCGTCTGACAAAAGACATAAAAATACTCCTACATCAAGAGGAGCAGCAGTAACGTCTGCTGAAAACAGTTCTTCATGGCTAAACATTCTCTTTCGTAGTTTCTATTCTACATTATGTTTCCCTGTACCAAAAGGTAATAAATTTGTTAAATCAATTCTAGTTTTCTATTGTTATTTTTGATAAATCAGTTACAATAGTTAATTACAATAAAAAATTCAAAAGATCTTTAAAATGTCATGGAAAAATTTAATTCAAAGATTGTGTAATTAGGAACAACATGGCATAGTTGATAAGTAAATAATATTGAAAAACAAAAGAAAAAATTAATCTTAGCTTAAGAATATGTATATTTATAAAAAATTTGATCAAATATAGTATATATAATAATTTGGGTTTATATCTCTTCAATTGATTATTCTTTTACAGCTTATATTTTTGTAAGAATAATTCTTATTGTGAGTCAATACTGCATTAACAATTTTTTAAAAATAACAATGATTTTGCTAGATAGATGTCCTACAATTTAACCCATAGCTGTGGGAAGGAGATGGATTTATACATTTCTCAAGGGTATTTGCACATAAGTGAATGTAATGAACCTGACTGAATATATCCCAACAAAACAAAAATTGAAGGTAAGAATATAGGTCTACCTGTCAAATGGTTGATATAGAAAAGTTACATCATCACAGTAACATTTGCGGTAATAAATATAAGTTGGTAAACAACAATGTAGAGAATCCAACTAAAACTGTTTCATACAAAATAAACATAGAAAATGTCTCCAACATTTTAGCAATAAAAAGGAAAAAGATAGCCCTGTCCATTCTCAAGGTAAGATACAACCTGTATTTAATATTTAGATCTATAACAGCAATTTTTAATTACAATATTTACAATCAGACTAATGCTTCATCTTTGTTGATATTATGTTTTTGCCACTGGCCTTCTTTAGATGTCTCTTGATCCAGGTAAGCTACAACGGTTTTTTAAACCCTTCATTTAATTTATGGGGGTAAATTGTTCTCGTTCAATTCTTCATGTCTATGGATATCTTGAGGTTAAGCAATGTTGAGCCTGGTCAGTACCTATGTGTGTGACTACTTGGAATTACCAGGTGCTGTAAATTTGTATATGTGGGTAGTGTAATGGATAACAGCTCAGAATTAAAAATCGAAGAGATGAGTTGCAATTACAGTTGGGTTTTTTATATTCCCTTGCGTAAAATTCTTGGGAAAGGTAAGAATCCACTTCTTCTCCCCTCTGCGATGGGTCAAAAAGTATGACTTGTATCAGTCAATCATTATCTCCAAAAAATTCTTACAATCTCAATATATGTTCTGGCTTTAAATAGTCTGAAAAAGGTTGCTAAGCTAAAAAGAAAAAACAACTCACTATAAAGATTTCCACTCCCACTGCTGAGATGTGGAAAGTGGACTTCAAACCCACTACCTTCTAAAAATAGAGGCACTCTGGGTTCCCATTGGTCAATGACCGACCAATCATGCACCCGTAAATTTAGGGGTTTAAGTCCTTCAACCTGCTCCCGGCCTCTTTTCCTGCCAACCGTTGAGGATCCAACATTGGGTTAGAGCCGTCACCAGGGGTCAAGGAACAGAACTTGAACACCCACAAGGTGCCATCTCAACGTTTGTTAACTGGACATTCTTCTTTGACAAGTAAATTCCACAGATACACATCATAATTGCAAAAAAACCCACCCACCCCTTTAACTTTTATCTACTTTATTGCACATCTTGTTACTTGCTGTACATATTAATATGAACATTTTTTTAATTACATTTTGTCAGTGTTCTCTCCTTCAAATGTCCATTACTATCTGCCCTACACAAATCATTTGATAGGCATATCTCGTTCTTTTATTAAATTATGGATTTAGTTCAAAATTTCCTGAAGGTTATCTATGTTGACAGACACCTGAAGAAGGCTGCAGAGTAAAACAGCCAAAATGTTGTGATAATAACAAAGATGAGGACAATAGTGTGAGTGTAAATAATGATAACTCCTCATTCAATAAATGCTATCACAAGAAACACCAATTTTTGCTTTGATAAATAAAAGTTGTCGACATTATTTTTGAATACCTGATAGCAGTTCTAATGGTGACAGGATCTTCTTGTGGGTCTTCATGGCGTTGGGCTTTGATTTCTTCCAGCTTCTCCATTTGAAAACGTAGATCATTTATCTTAGTAACTAAGAACCGACGTTGATTGACCTGTTCTTGATATTTTGATTGCATGTTTTCTATTTCCTTCATCAATCTCTTCATGGAATACTCAGCATCATGCTGACTTCTTAGAAGAGATGTGAGTTTTTCTGAAAGCTCTTTATGGCTCAACTGTAATTCATTCAATCCTTAAACATAACAAAAAGTCGATATTTACATATTAAAAAAAAAAAGAATGTATGTGATTTGCTTTCAAAACATTTTTTATTATAATGTAAAATAATTTGGACAGATAAAAAATTAAGTTAATAAAAATTACAAAAACCTTATAGTTGTTCAAGAACAGTAGAAAAATAATTCAGCAACTATTTTTTTTTATTCTTTCTGAAACAAGCATGATTTGTTTTAAGGAAATAAAAAAAATCATTATTGTACATTAAAAATGCTGCATAATTTTAGTTTTTACTGTTTTCACTGAAAGAAAACCTTCTCTTTGTTATGAACTAAGAAAAATACAGAGATAAAAATGCTTTATGGTAAGATTTGTGCCTTGAGGAATTTATGAATTTAAGCACACTACTAGATTGGCAGCAAGGCCTCATCATTTTACAAGTTGAAATGGCAAGATGTAACTGTAAGTTCTATGCATACTTTTCTCACACTTCTCACTTGTGGAACTCATTTTTGGCTTCTTGCTTTCCAGTCAACTTTGACCTTTAAAAGTTTAAATACAATGTCAGTTGTCATCATCTGTCTTCTTAATTTATGTTCTTTTATTCTTCTCTCTCTTTAATAATGTTTTATTTTTCTTATAGTTTTCACTCAGTAACCCCTTGATTTTTTGTGGCTTTATTGCCTTGTTTAGAGTGAAATGATAAAAAAAATGGGGGGGAGGGGCTTTAGAATTTTTTTATTTTCAATTTCTGTTGCTTCTTATTAAAAAAATAATTATATAAAGTAAATATAATGCTATAAGCATGAATGCCAAAACATTACAAACAGCATTATACTGGCTTGTTTTACCTTCCCTTACTTGTAGCAGTTGATTCAGCCAGATGATGTGCATTTGTGACATAATAAGTAAAGAGACAGTGTAATTGTGGCAGCCATGGGATGTAGACAGGATTTAACACTGTTTGACTGTGAAATTGTCGTTAGAAACAGAAAGGTTTGGAGCATTCTATTTTTGAGTTAGCAGCTGCTCCAGGTTTTTCTCAGGTAAAAGTAGCAAGTGTGAATTTTAGAAATCACTGTGAATCCATAAATAATGCAAAAACAGGACAACTGGTGATTGACAAAAAATGGTAATCAACTAATGAAAGTGAACATTGTATTAACCCACATCACAATTCAGCAGTGGTCTTGCTTAACCTTTCATGGTGCAGAACATTTGCACTCCTATATGCTTGCCATATTTCACGGTGGTGAAGGTTTCTTTCAGTAAAATAATGCAAACCTACCGTCACGTGCAGATGACACAAAACTGTTTCCAGGACTGGTTGGCTGACATCAAAGTACTTCATTGCCAACACAACACACCCTCATTTCCAGATTTAAACCCCACTGAGCATGTATGTTACAGACCACATTAAATTCACTGTAGGCACAATCAATAAATATAACTTTATTATCAACAGCCCTGGAATGTGTTTGAGTAGATATAATCATGCAATGATTCTAGAAATCTCAAAGACTGCATGCCATGTAGTGCAGCTACCATTTATGCAGGTGAAAGGAGGCTCTACACATTATTAGGTAATTTTTGGTACCTTGGTTTATATATAGTTGGAATCCATAGAAATTATATAATACACAAAGTAATTCATACATTTTAATAATACAGAATAAAAAATTATACCCTTGATGAAAATAAAATTATTTAAAAAAATCTTTAGAAACTTCTTCCCCAAAAAGATATTCTGCTTTACTGTTTTGCACTTGACATTGTGACATTCTGCTGTGGAAAAAGCCACAAAACTGTATACAGCTTTCAGTAATTTTATTATTTGTTAGGCACACTAGTATATTGTAATAACACTTCTGGCTATTCAATGTGGGGTTATGAGCGTAACAAGAAGGTAGAGGTTAGGTCTGATAAAACATTGGAAGTCATTAGATTACTATCATGGTTTGACAAAATGATAAAAAAAAAGCTTTCTTTCACCCACAGTATGTCTGAAGATGATTCTCCACATGAACTGTCAGTAATTATACCCCACCCCCAGGTTTCACCAGGAATGCTGTTTACATGAATTGTAGTTGTTGACCACTGGGTGAATCATTCTTTCTCAACTACAAAATTCAAAAAAAAAAGAAGCCTGATCTAACTGCAATTGAAATGTTCATTTTATTTTACCTTAAAAATTGTCATACATTCAGCCTCACCGTAAATTATATCTTGGCTTGATATTAGTTATCGATATCAATATTTTCAGTTGACTTCTTCTACTTACAAGATAAGTTCACTTAAGGAAGAAAATAGATAAGTAAGCTGTTACAAATCAGTTTAAGTTGGTCACTTTTATCTCTATGATTCAGAAACTACTAACAACTGTCATTTCCAATTTAGCCCAAACAGATTTCTTTTGTTATTTTTATTGTTTGCTTATCAGACAACCTACAAATTATTTCAATCACTTTCTATTGGTCTATTGTCACATGCAGCATCGTTTATGAGAGAAGAAAGATGCTTTTAAGCATTTGGTTACATTGTTTCCTTCTAATTAAATAGTTTCTCTTTTTGTCTTTCCTTTTAGCCTCAAATAAGCAGGTATTCTCTATAAACTGTTGTTGGCAGACCATTCAAAACTGAATTCAAATATTTTGCCTGTTTTGGATTGTTTTCAGGTTTCAATATTTCTGAAGTGTGGAGAATCTGATATTGCGACACTTGGCTTCTTGTTAGTGAGGTTGGCTGAAATTGTACAGGAGACATTAATGACACAAGTCAATGGTACAATATTGTCTGCTAGTCTATACTAGTTAAAAGGCACTGAATCTGATGGTAACTAATACCTCAATACTGCTACATCATCTTTTATATAAGAACAATTGAGGTATTCAAGTATATTTCACACTGACTCCTAAAATCATATAACATATAAGTATTTACATGTTTGACCATGATTCATTTTTACCAATTTATTTTGTATGCTGTGTGATATAGATTTATTTAAGCAATAGTGCTAAATTTGTTGGATAGTATGGGAGGTGATCTCATCTTTGTTATATTCAGGAATTAATTCTTTAACCAAACACACGGTCTCATGTCAATCTAATAAGTCTAAAGTGGTAGGAGAAATGATCAGATGGCTTAAATGTCAAAATATAAATTTGAGTTCAAATCCAATGGTTTCCAAATGCTTCATAATTTATTGAATAAAATTAATTTTATAAATTAATTTATTTTTATTTTTTTTTTTACATCTTATCAGTTCTCTACAGGTATTGAATAAAATCAGCATTCTTAAAAAGATCCTCCATTTTTATAATGGGAATAACAGGTATTCGTGATAGTTCATGACATCAAATCCCTTTTGGGATAAGCCACATTGCAAGGTCTGTCTGTCCAACTTCAAAAATTTTTCCCTACTACTAAGATTAATTTACATGGTAAGAGAGTCACTGACATAGCTTTCTATGCTAACATTTGTTTGCACTCACATCCAAGTGCCAGTACTGTATTTCTAGCATCAACATCATGATCTAAGACTTCTAGTTAATGTAGTGCTGAGGGGATGTCATTATCAGAATGTGAAACTGTCTGATTTAAGTGTTGATGAAATCAATAGACAGGACTTTATGAAACAATAGTAAAGCATTTATGTATATTTTGTTGCAGGAGAAACTTTCATTAAATGTTTGTTGATTAGCTACCTTTTCTGTTTTCTCTCTAGATGTTCTTCTAATCTAACCAATGATTGTAGCCTAGTAGCTACTAAATCAAGAAAATATAGCTCTCCAGACAAACACTTTATTGCACCTGAAATAAAGAGGCTATTTATAGAAAAGTTAGTGGAGCCAAACATCTGCTTATAGTGTTCTCAACTTGTCATGGCCACCAATGAGTGACACAAGTAAAAAAAAAAATGTATTTGATTACTTTCAGGCCATTTCAAACTGCCAAACACTATAGTACAATATCAATTCTTTAGTATAATTGACTTGAAATCTTCCTACCATCAAATCTTGAAGACAAACATTAAACTACTTTTGATGCTTGTGTTAAGTTATATCAATTCTACTAAATTCCATTTGCAGTAACTAATGGAATTGCCTACTTTCCAGTTTTCAAGTTTGATCCACTCCCTAAAATCTTATTAAATGACCAAGCATCAGATATTTTAAAAAAATGTCTTTTTTGTTTGGGCTGAGAACTTTTCAGCACCCCATTAGTAGACATGATGCTTACCTGTTTGTAGAAAAAATTAAGGTAAAACATGGCAATAACCCCAGATTTACTGAGGCTGCCAAGATATTTAACTTGACCTACAATCATGATAAGCACACAATCTCTATAGACTTCCTAGGCTATACTATTCTTAATTGTATAAATAAGCTTTGCCCTGAAAGACTTGGGCCACTAAAAGAAGTTCCTTTCAGACTTTAGATTGAAACCCTGAATGAATCATTGAGAAATAAACTTGTGACAGTTGTCATTACATTTTAGATAACTTCTAGGTTTGTAGAGAAACAAATGTATCAATGTTGATATTTCATGTTTTTTGAGATTTTATACTTTAAGAATATACTCACTTTGCTTATCTTGTTCCCGCAAGGCCATTATTTTATATTCATATCTCTCAGCTGTTGTGGCAGCCATTTGCTGAAATAATTATCAAAGCTTTCTGGGATTTATCAAATCTTATCAAAACATCATCTGCTGGTCCTAAAATAATATCTATACAATTAAGATACAATAACTGTTTTCAAAATGATGCCAATGAAAACCATTTAACAAATATTATAGAAATTTAAACTAGGTTAAGAGAATGTATTCTTTTTTTGTCTGGTAATGTCACTAACCTAGTATTGAAAATGTACCTTATACTTCTTGGTGACCAGATTTCATCTTTATTATGCAAAGCTTCAGTAATATTTAAAATGTGCATTCGAAAATTCTCAACCAATCCAGAGATCTTATATTTTTCAAAATTTGTATACAATAAATCTAAAGTTTATAAAATCTGTTAAATAAGATTTTTATCCAGTTTTCATGAGTCCAAACATTTCTATTGAATTCTGTCTTTTAATTCTTTCCATTGAAAGCATTAATTTTATTTGTAGATGTGGGAATATTTTAATGATTTCCTTGCATACTCTAATTAAGTATACTCATTAATCTTAAATAAGAGGCATCCAATGAGGAACATAATTCTGCAAATAATCTTCATTGCAATTGTCTGTCTACTTTTTATATAATTAATAATTTTAATAGTGTTATCGAGTTCAGGCACTAATGATTTTGACACTAGTACTTCTCCGTGTAGAAAAACAGGGATTTCTTTTTTTGTGGTAAGAAATCCTTACACTGGATATAGAAAGAGCTCAATCCATATAAATACTTATGCAGGAATCCCAAGACAAGTTACTATAATTGAAGTAATTATTGATCAAATAAAAATATCTTGGCCCTTTGTTATTGTTTGGAGTGGTGAACAAAATAAAAAGTATTCTATGATTTCTTTATAAACAAATCTACTGAATGCTGAAAATTAGGGTTTACCATTGATATCAGTAGATTCATATAACTGAATTGCAAGCATGTTTACTTCTTTGAGGTGAGACATTATTTGAAACTCTATATTTTCATATAAATCTTTAATAAGGTGAGAAATTGTGAGTAAGAGAGAGAGCAGAATTTTTAAAATTTAGTTTTCATATTCTTCTCCAAAATTTTTTTTTGCAATTGCCCAGCAGGCTGGTAAAATAATGAATTCTGCAACTGTATGAGACGCTACAATTTTTTGTAACTGTGTAGGCAAATATCATTGCATATTTGGTCCATATTTTTAGTATTACTGAGTTCAAGTTGTTTGAAATATTCTACCTGCTTTTTGGGAAATTGAGAATGTCTGGATTGTAAATGTCTCTTTAATTTGCTTGGAACTATAGCTTCATTTGATAATGCCAAAAATTATGCATGTGGGATATGATAGCTTTCTTTTACTACATATGAAACCAAATGATAATTAATCTTCATTATATTAATGAATAATTGTTTTTAATTTGGTTGCTGATGTACTGGATGAAGCAATATTTAATGCATTAGCTCTGTCTTCTAATTTTTGTTTCTTAATTAAAAAACTTTGGCCATTTTACAATTTTATAATGAAAATAAAACACGTTCAGTATGAGCTACACGTCCTCATTGCTTCGGGCATAATTTAATATGTTGTGACGTTGTCCCCCGTGAGCGCCGAAGTGTCCGATCCCGGTCGCGGTGAATTAGACTCCACGTGCTCCCCCAGGCTCTGATATCCTGGTCACAGACAGCACCAACTGTGACGCTTTCAACAGTTGGGTGCTCCATGACGTTCTAACCCTTTGGTTGATTGATACCAGCCTCGCCGTTCCCAACCCGGCTTCCAACGCTGGTTACCAGGGAACTGCACTTTTCCAGTCTGCTCACCTATCGCCAGAATTGATCTTAGACAGACGGATCAAACAGGGTTTGGGGTGAAAAGTTGAGTCTGCGGGGGTGATAACACACAATTATGTATAAAAGAAAATAAAAATAAAAACTCACAAGGTCCAACGTATCAAGAAAAAAGGTAACAAACTTTTTATGTCTAATTGCTTTCGGTACATAGGACTATGTCTACTTCCCGACCCGTTCTGTGGATTGTGGCACAACGCTTTTACTAGGCAACTTTAGGCTTCCAGTTGTCTGCTCTCTAAGAAATTTGGTTTGGGTGTGTCTTTGGACGAAAGTCGAAAAAACTTATTTCTGTGGTCTGATTCATTCTCTTCAAACTACTTTTCTGGTTGAAGAAGAGTCCAGAATTTGAATCTTTTGGTCATATTTGACGCGTTTTCAACACTGGTGCTCATCTCTTCTTGTCGTCCACGGCTGAACTGCTTTAAGCCGTGTGGCTCAACTCAACTGAGCCGGTTGGGGTTTGCTTTTATTGACGCAGATCAAAACTGGGGTGAATGTCCCGCCTTCGATAATTCAAATACGTATCCACCCTTCTTATTTCTGTAAGGGATTTTCCATTTTCGTAACTCACTCCCACTTCTGCCTCAGGGATAGCGCATTCCCCTCTTCGTGACGGTCCTTACACTTACATACACTTCTGACAGGGCGCTGACCGATTCTCCTCAAAGGCCACGTGACCGCCTCGGCCAATGAGGTCCTGGTCGGGTATCTTCCTCCTCCTTCATGTGTCATGTGATCTTATTTAGCCAATGACGTCTTTAGTCGGGCGTGGACAATCCGTGGCTTTGTTTTAGGAAAGAAACAACTTGCTTAAAAAAAAAAATATTAATTTAAATCGCCTTTATCGTGATAACTGAGATGACACCTTAGGCTTTTTAACACGTGGTATTTGTCAAGCAGTTTATCGCTAATTGGATATGATCTAAGAAAGGGATTTTCAGACCGTATGCGAGATTTTTTGAATCTAAATAAAAATATTTCATTTTCCTCCGTCAAGGTCCGATAATAAAAAAATCTTTATTATCTCAAAAAAAATTTTCAGCGACATCATCTTTGTGGTTTTTTCCAATTCTGGAGACTGTCTGCTTTTCGGGATTAATGGTTTGCCATCATATCCTTAGATACACTTCCCCACTTGTTACTTATCAATATTTTCATTGTCCCTAAACTTCTGTTTCTTCTTTTCCCTTGATGACAAACCAAGTGATAACAACTTCCATTTTCCACAGATCTCGGTCAGATGTTTGACCTGAATATTTTTCGACACCTGTTATCTGTCAGCCGTGAGTGTGTGCTTTCGCCTATGACCTGTTTTCGTATTATTTTTTTTCTTTCTTTCTTCTTCGTTTTCTTTCCTTCTTCCAGATCGCTTTGAATGTAAAGAAAGAATTATTCTTAAAACCCAAAAATATTTTTTTTGGCCCTAAATAATTATTAAATGGTTGATAAACCATAAAAAACAAATCATATATCTATGAATATTTCTTTTCAGCTCGTCAGGTATGCATGGTGCCACAATGTGCACAATGAGGGATTGCTGAGTCATTCCCAAAATCAACTTTGGATGATTTTGACATATATTGGTGTTCATAGGCAAGTCCTTGTCAAATTGTGTCATCTATAGATGTGTAACGCGACCAAATTTCACACACCCCACTTATTTTATATATGTATATGTTTATTTATTATAACATTGATATACTTGTATAATCAAAGTAGTTTTATTTTGATATGTACACTTATTGTGCTTTGGACGGCTTTCAAAAATAATTTAATTAATGGCCTTTAAAAATTTTTGCAGGACACCTACAAGCCTCTCATGGCACACCAGTTAAAAATCACTGCACTAGAGGAACATTTTCCAAAGTTGTTGTTGCTGATGAAAACCCTTAGAAAACATTACTTATGAAGAGTCAGTAAATGTGTAGAATTCAATAAAGTTGATAAAAAAAGAAATGATTGGTAATATTGCTTATTATTTAATTCTATTTTCCAGCAACTAAAATGTTTTGGTATTGAAGCAGCACGTCCATTTTGAATCCATTTTTGTTAAATATTGAAAAACAAACATTCTTAATTCCAACAAACAATGTAATGTTCAAGTTATATAAACTTTAAAATTAATATAGAGACATTTTTTGGTGGAAGATAATAGTTTGAATGGTAGAAAATATAGTATATAAAAAGGAATGACAGGCAAGTAGTTATTCTTGAAACTATAGGCAATTATAAACTATGGAAGCGCATTCTTATCAAAATAAAAGAGCAGAATATCAATGTATATATAAATGCACACCTTTCACCAGATACCAATCTTCAGCTTAGCTTTCAATTCATAAGAAATTTGATAAACTCTGATCTAATGCTCAGTCAGCAAATTTATTTCCAAAAGTGGCACACATTTTTTTGTGGTCAGTCACATTATCTAACTTTTAACCTCAGAAAAAGGCAACTGTACAAAAATCTACAAACCTTCAATGGCTTCATTGAGCTTATTTTCTTTTTAAGTTGATCCATCCTCATTTCATATTTATTCTTGATACGGGACATCAAAGATTTGTAAGTTTTAAAATTGTCTATCAGATATTCAAACACCTCTCGGTGAGCCTGCCAAATATATCAAATACAAATAAACATTGATGACAATGAAAAATTTACATATACAATATTTCATACATTTTACTGGGGCTCAGTACTTTAAAAATTAATTTTTAATTAAGCATATTTTAGTAAAATTATAATAAAAAAACAAATAACTGCTGTATAAGTATATTCTTGCTGTACTGTTATATCTGAAGTAAATTTTATCAATGATTACTGGTATTTCTAAGCAGTGGCCCTGGTTAAGTCATACTGGTGCATGGAAAGTGGTTAGTTACTGGAGGTATTAAGAGACTTGATAAATTTGAGCAAAGAAGTAGAGATATTAGAAGAAAATATGGGAGAGTGGTTATTCAGATTGGAATCCAATGGAAAAAAGTTTGGTTTAAAAATCCAGGCCCAAATTGAAAACCCCTTCATGGCTGGACATCTAGTTTTATTACAGAAGGTTCTTTGTTTCAGACACCAATTAATCTTGTCTGTTTCCCCCCTTGACAGAAGTCTGTATAAATGGAATAGGTATGCGCATGAATAAGTAGGAGTCAGTCACTATTAGTGAGTGTATGAGGGTACACATGAGTCGGAATCAGACATCTGCAGAGAGAAAATTCTGCATACCACATTC